GCGTAGTGAATTCCTGTGAGGTGTTAGCAGGGCTTGAGATAACGTATAAATGCGTTGAACGTACTGTCTCCTCTTGCATGGCGGACTGGAGCCGTGTGGCCCATTCCAGGATGTCCAGCTCTGAGCTCTGGCTGCCCGAGATCGTCTTCAGGGCAAGAAGACATCCCTCAAGAACCAGTTCGGCGTCCGATCGGTCCCTGTTCCAGATGTGCTCGGTAGAAGCATGCTTGAGGTGCTTTTCCAAGAATTCCCATGAAAGGTCGATTTGAGCGACAGTTTCATTGTGGAAGTCGAGGACAAACGACAGAGCAGATGCCAGGCATGTAATAGCTACCGCTTTGACTTCCTCTGGGTAGGCGCCAAGGATAACGGTATAATAAAGGTCAATCAGAGCTCGTCTGTACTGGACTCGCTCGCCGAGGATCTCCTGGATGCGCTCCAACAACCATTGACCAGCATTGGGGTCGAAGCGCGAAATATCTCCAAGAAGTGGCTCAACTTCGGACAGTTTGTCCGTAATGAACATCTGCAGGACAGTGACCCACGAGATGGCCCGGCGGAGAAGAGAGGGAGCGCGTGTGGTGCTCAGAGTCTTCCAAGAAGGATGCGAAGAATCAAACAAGAACTCCCGGATGGCGGCGAAAGAATAAGTTTCGGAGAGATAGTTAAGCGTCGAAGCCATTTGTCCTGCTTCTGTTAGCGCGTGTCATCGCGAGTTGAATTTGACTTACCTTCCGCTCCTGATTCTATGCACTTTTCAATGACATCGCCGAGAACCTCCAGCAGAATACTGGCCACGAACGGGGACTCCGCAAACGGGAAGGATGCTGCAAAGACGTCTTTCAGGGTCGACAATACCTCATCAACGTGCTCTGGGAAATATTAGCAAGGACAAAACACCGCCTGTGAGTTACGAGCATACCATTCCAGAAAGAGAGAGAGCTCGAGGCATATCTCCTAAGAGAGTACTTGATGCAAAGGGCTTCTCCGTGGAGGTAGTCTTGGGTCTTCGTGTCTCTCTTGTCATCCAACAACGCCTTGATGCTGGTCAGAACATCCGAACGGTTCAGCAACGAAGCATACACTCGGGCTGCATGTTCTCTGATACCCCACACTGGACTCTTGAACTGTTCTCTGACAAGTCTACGAAGCACATCGTCATCAACTCCGGTGACGTTGGGGACCTTCTCTGCGATGAGCTCCAAGGCCGGGAAAACACGCTCGGTAACCATAGCGTTATCACCGTCATCAGCGTTGCTCTGGTCCGACGGGCTGAGAAGGGTCGGTAGGAGTTCAAACAGGCCAGGATACTTCTGGAAGGAGACTCTGGCACCTGGTTCTGAGCCGGAAGCTCCACCGAATCCTAGTCCAGTACCGGTGCGGCACATGCGCGTCAACAACGCACGGAACAGCATCAGCCCGGAGTTACGGAGGGCCCATCTAGGATAGTCAGCATGGAGAAAGACGCAGCCGTATATAGTACTTACATAGGCGACCCCAGCCGTTCAGCCGAGAGCCTCAAGGCAGGCATGATGAAAGGCTCCGTGTGGGGCCCAAGCTTGTTGTTGGTAAAGATGTCTTTCAGGCAGTTCATTGCGTGCACCTGTGGCAGTGGTACATCTTGTCTCGACTTATCATGTTCCGCGGGCAGGTGAGAGATGTCATGCAGCTCATTAATGACAGTTTGGAAGAGCGGACCGCCAGGCTTTGACGAAAGGATACCGACAATCAAAGCAGGGAGACCAGCTGAGCGACGTGTAAGCTTCGAGGCGGACTCGAAGATGATTTTCTTCGCTTCCTGTACAATTGTGAGCTTTGATCGTTTTGTCAAGACGGGGTCCTTACCTGGTACCACCGACTAGGCAATGCGGAAATCTCCTCGCTGGTCGACTGTCCGCACCGCTGGCAGCAAGTAGCAAATGTCTGCGACACAGTAGAGAAGGCACCTCTGTGCCGGAGTTCAGCAAGTTGGATGAAGCTGAGTGTTCCGATTTTCTCAAAATGCTCGACCGTCAACCCAGACTCGCCTTGCGGACCGTATGTTTTGTTGGAAAGTGAGGCATGTAGGAGAAGACTACGCAATTAGTAAGAACAGCCAATCCAGCGCAAGACGCAACACACCTTGATTCGCGAAGAGCACGCCATGAGTAAGACAAGATATCCTTAGGACCAACACCAAGCTCCTCAATGGGCTCATCCGTATGGCCTTCAGGCGAGTCGATGCAAAGAACAGGCTTAACCTCGTTCCAAATCTTGTCGCAGACTTGCACAATCCTGAGATGGATAGCCTTCCAATTGTCATATGAAGATTCCTTGCTGGACACAAATGAATAGAAATTGGGGGTCGCAATGATGTACCTAGTATCTGTTAGCTCCACGGTGGGTAGATGAAGCGTTGGAATTACCTCAGAGCGGATACATATCCATGCAGAGGCGCGTCACGCATAGAAGAGTTGAACAGGCCGCCGGCAAGGGAGAGCTTTTGCTCCAACTTCTTCAGAAGGGTATCGACAACCATGGACTTGTTCACCCACCAGCGTGCAGCGTCACTTGCACCATCCACGGCGGCTGCACGGAAGAGGATATGGTATAGACGAGCAACGGTGTCTGCAAAGTCAGCTCTGCTGGTGTTGCTTGCCAGTTGTTCGGCCTTTGCGAGACCTTCAATGATTTGTGGCACGCCAGCTTGCTTGTCGTTGTCGAATAGAACCTCCCGTGGGAAGAGGTTCAGAATGTAAAGCGAAGTAGCGCGTACCTCCTCGAATGGATCGAGCAGAAGATCTACCAGCAGTCTCAGCAAAGTAGGCTCAAACACCTCCACGTTGGAGAGCCACTTTGTCTTAACACCGTCCGTCGGATTGAGTCGAGAATCGAGACCGGATTGAAGGAGGAGTATCAAGGTCTTCAGCGCGGAAACGTGGCGTGGGTAAGAAGCTGTGGGGCGCAGGTCCGCCTTCAAGAAATCCACGTACTGTTGCATACACGCCCGAGTGGTAGTGTCGTTCCGAGCAAGCTTGGGCTGCTGCTTTTTGTTCGCTGGGGCTTTCTGCTCGGTTAGGCCGTCCTGATCTTCCAAGAGTCCTCCCTTGAGTCGGATTATCAATTTGCGAATCAGACTCAAGATCTCGCCTCTTGAATAGGAGTCCGACTCGGTGTGCATAGACGGCAGTCCGCTAAGAATGGCATTCATTGTTGCAGAAGACACTGGCCTTGTCGTGGAGGGCGCAGTGATCAGCAGGGAAAGTGTCGCGATTCTGATAGTGATATCGCGATGGAAGAGGAACTGGCCGATGGTTTCGCTCTTCAAGACGAGAACATTTTCGTCGCTGGCCCCAGCCTTGGGGATATAATCTGGCGAAGGTAAGTCCATTGCTCGGCCCACTATACAGCATTACTTACGATCTTCGTGAATGAGCCCGATTTTCTTGGCGATTTGCAACGAAGCAAACAATAGCATGAACTCCGCCAGCGGGGCATCGCTCATATCGCCAGCCAGAAGACTGCTCAAGGGTAGCCGCTCAATGAACGATTTGAAGCCAGCCGGATCAGTCGCGAACGACGGCTGGAGAACATAGTTGGACATATACTCCAGGTTATCCAGGTTGCGCAACGACACATGGCGAACGGGCGCCACCCAAACAGACTTCAAGTCCTGAGCGTCAGGCGAAGCCTTCACTCTCTGGAGAAATGCCGCCAAAGTGTCACCTGAAGAGGCAGCAAGCTCCGCTTTGGTAGCGCGAGCCAGCATTCCCAGGACCAGAATCTGAGCTGCTATCTGGTACGTCTCTCTCCCAGAACCCTTCTTAAGATACTGGGAGAAATCGATAGAGAGAGCTTTGCAGTCCTCCTTAAAAAGCGCCGTCCACTGTTCATAGTGATCTACAAGCCACTGGTCCGTCACTGAGACCAGCTCTAACGGCGTGATGGCACTCTTGCGCAGCAGCATCTCTAACGAGGCGAAAGAAGCCTTCAGTCGAGCGCGAGGCTCGCCAAGGATGATGCTAGGGATCGTAGCCTCAACGATCTTCTGGCGGAGCACGGACCGGTCAAGCTCTTGACGAGTCTTGGCCAACAGGGCAACCAGCGACTCCAGCACCTGCTTCATCGGCTTGGGCTTGACATCCTTGTACCGGGTCATGAAGACCTCGAATACAGATAGCCAAGTTTCATCAGAGCGGGCTAGCTGCCTCGTTCCCTCACAGGTGGAGGTCCGCGCAGCATCCAAAAAGGCACTGATTGCATTACACGCAGCAGTAGTATGCGGATGAGAAAGAGAAGCCGTAGAGTATGTCTTCAGTAGCGACTGGAAGACTCGGCTCACTTTCCTTTGGGAATAGTCAGAAAAGATGCATATTGAAAACACTTGCGCACACAACAGACAACTTGATAAGCAAATGTTTGGAAACACTCTTACTCAATATCTTCACAAGAATTGGTGAACTTCACCAGCGGGCCTTTCCCAATGCGCACGAGGGTCTCCTCGGGCAAAAGTTCTATATTCCGCGATACTTGCTCCATTTCTGATAGTGGGAGCCCGGCATCCCCGGGGGGGCCAGACACAGGATTACCGACCATACTTTTAGTATTCTTACAAGTACAGCATGGCAACCTTCAACGAGTGGGTTCAGATATCAACCATTTACAAGAGAAAAGAAAAAAACCCAAGCACGAGCCCGCCCCCGCGTTTCCAATCGCGACTTTTGCCTCTTGTGGATTTTCGAGAGCGGGTCTCCGAATCGGGTTAGTGCCGGGACAACAATAATCCCTGTAAGCTCGGCCCAAACGGGAAATGTTCGATAAACTGCCGGCCCGGAAATTCTGGCAGAAAGCTGGACCAAGTCACGGGGCTGAAGTTTTTGTTTCTCGGCCTGGAATTATTACTGTCACCTTCTTTGCTCCGACGAAACCGCGCAGTCACCAGAACCTCAATCCCAATCCCTCCCCAAGCTCTCGGATTGTTCGCCAGTGTTCTGATCTCCTCTTCTTTTCCTTTTCCTTTTTCTCCTTTCCCTTTTCTCTCTCTATTCTCCTATCTGTATTCATATTCTCCATAACCTGTTTAATAAATTCACCCACACCTTCCCGCCAATTCAACCACCTCACTATCCAACATGTCGAACATCTGGGACTCCATCACCGGTCGCAAACAATCCAAGGGCTCCGAGGCCACCGCATCAGCACCAGATGCTACCAGCTTCCTAGCCGATCTTCCCGACCCCTCTCAGCTCCATCCCCTCGCCGGCCTGAACCAAGATACCCTCGACTACATCACCCTCGAAGACTCCGCGCTCGACCAAACACCCGGATCGCGCTCTGTGCTGCCCTCCCGTGGATGGTCCGACGATCTCTGCTATGGAACAGGAACGACTTACCTTGCTGGTTTGACTCTCGGTGGTGCCTGGGGTCTGGCGGAGGGACTGAAGAAGACGCCCGTCACCGCTCCGCCGAAGATCCGCCTCAACGGTGCTCTCAACTCCATTACGAGACGAGGACCTTTCCTCGGTAACTCGGCTGGTGTGGTCGCGATGGTCTACAACGGGTTTAACTCCGGTCTGGGCTACGCGAGGGGTAAGCACGATGCTGCTAACAGCATTGTGGCGGGTGCGTTGAGTGGAATGGTCTTCAAGAGCACGAGGGGTCTTAAGCCTATGGTGATTTCGGGTGGTATCGTCGCTGGCATTGCTGGTGGTTGGACTGTAAGTCTATCCCCTTTAACCAGAGATTATGTCCATGAACATTTGATTAACATGTTATGTTTCAACAGGTCCTGAGCAAGGCTATCCTGTAAACGCCAACAACCGCCAATTCCCTCATAACTGTATTTTAGCCCTCGACTCGATACCTCGACCCGAGTCAATCCACCTGATCCGTCCACGCGTTTCGGAATCCCCATATGATTGTATGGTATATGGCCTCTTCACCAAAGACGGAGTAAAGGAACATCAGCCCTGCCTGATGTTCCACTCTCCGTTTTGTTTTGTTTTCTCGCTGTATTAGAACGGTTTCTCCTTATACTTTTATCCTCGTCGTCTCACACACACACATCTTCCCTCTGGCGTACAAAGCATCGTTTGTCGCATTACTTTACAGTCCATGGGTTCGGAACCGGCATGGCAATGGGTTTTTATTCGTTACTTTTTTTAGTGTCTATCTTCTGTACATATAGCGTGAGTTCTCCTATGGGGGGTTGCGGGTTAGTCTTTTTCTTTGCTCGGCGAACCAGAAAGAAAAGCCAGTATCGCAAAGCAGGAGTGCTAGCTTCAGCTATCCTCAAGTTGAAACCTTAATGTGAAATTAGGGAGTAACAAATGAACAACAACTACCATTCAACCTACCTACCATCCCAGTGACAGACCTTTTAAAAGAACCCATACATCCCCCCATTTCCATCCCCATTCCCACTCCCACTCCCACCCCCAGACTCCAACAACCTCACCACCCCCTCAAACCCCAACCCCTTCACCTCCTCCACCAACTTAACCCCGGACCTCCTCCCCAAATCCACCTTCACCCCAACCTCCATCACCAACAACCTCACCATCCCCTCATGTCCATTCCTCGCCGCGACCCTCAACGCCGTCATCCGCCTCACATCCATATGCTTGACATCCACATCCCCACCCCCAAGCCGGAACAACTCCCTCGCTACCTCCGTATGGCCCCGTTCCGCCGCAGCGATCAACGGCGTGCGGAGATACCGGTCCGGCGCATCGGGATACACCCCGCTTAAGAGAAGAAGTCGCACCATCTCCAGATGGTTGTTCTCCGCTGCGTGGACGAGGGGTGGTGCACCCACTGTCCCCCCTGCTATCTGGGGTCGTAAGTGTGGGTTTGTGGCTGGGTGCGCGAGGAGGGCTTTCGCTATGCCTATGTGGCCGTGTTTGGCGGCGTGGGCGAGAGGTGTGTCGCCGTTGGGGTCGGGGAGGTTGGGGTTTATGTCTGGGTGGTGGAGGAGGTGGTGCGTTAGGGGGAGGTTGTTGGTTATGGTGGTGAGGATTAGGGGGGTGTATGTGGTTTCGTGGGTTGGGGATGGGGATGGGGGTGAGGAAGGGTGGTTTATGTCCACGAGGGGATGGGAGAGGAGAAGGTCTGTGGCGATGAGGTCGTTCTGCACGATGGCGAGACATAGGGGTGTTGTGCCTTTGAGGTCTGGGAGTTGGGGGGAGATGGTGGGGGTTTCGAGGAGCCAGATGATGGCTTGTGTGGATTTGTGGAGGATGGCGCAGTGGAGGGGGGTGAGGCCTTGGGTTGTTTGGAGGTTGGGGTTTATGGTGGTGATGGAGAGGAGGGATTCGAGGGCGAAGGTAGTGTTGGTGATGCAGGCGAGGTGGAGGGCTGTTGAGCCGGTGGTGTTTTGGGTATTGAGATGGTCTTCGGTGCTGTGGTTGAGGGCGGTATGGAAGACGGTGTCGTTGTTCTTGATGATGGCGTGCATTAGGAGTGTTGTGTTGCTGTTGTCGGTGATGTCGTAGCGGGTTCGGTGGTCTTGCATGAGCAGGTGGATGATGCGGTGGTGGTTGTGGAGGACGGCGAGCATGAGAGGTGTGCGGCCTTGGGTGTCTGTGTGGTTGGGGTCTGTGAAGGGGTAGGTGAGGAGGAGGTTTAGGATGTCTATGCGGTTCTTGGTGACTGCTATGTGGAGGGATGCTTGGCCGTTGCTGTCTGGGATGTGTGGATCGATGTGATGTCCGTTGTTTAGTAGTGTTCTGACGATGTCTGTCTGGCCGTGGGAGACTGCTATGTTCAGGAGGTATTGAGACTGGTCGGGGGTGAAAAGGGAAATGTCACGTCTGCATTGCAGTAAGCTTACTACATCTGCGTGGTCGTTGTCTGCTGCTGCGAAGATTGAAGGGAGCCCTTGTGCATAGCGATTGACGTCGATATCAGGGCGCTTCAAGAGCATTCGGACAATACAGGCTTTTCCCTGGCTAGCAGCGACCATCAGTGGTGCGGGGATGTTGCCATCGCGTCCGGTATCATTCAGCTTGACTTTGCTGATCTGGAGAAGAAGACGAACGACTGGCTCATGGCCACCCTGGATAGCAGCTAACAAAGGCGATATATCATGATAGTCAGGGACACTAGGGTCAGGCAGCCCGGAATGGAGCAACAGCTCAACCACATTTGCTCTACCACTTCTTGCAGCCAGGAAGATTGCTGTTCTTTGCATAGGAGCAAGGATATTCGACTTCGCCTTGTGCGCTAAGAGCATTCTCACCACTCGATCATGTCCTGCTGCAGCTGCAGCATTGAACGCACTTCCGAATGGGCCATAGGTAGACGTAGTCTGGGAAATCTGGACTCGCAAACCCGGATCAGCCATCAACATCGTGTGGATGAACTGATCAGATCCTCTGTATGCTGCAAGCTGGAATGTGTCTCCGAAGGCGCCTTCTCGTTTTCTTCTGTTGACGCCGCGTAAGATGAGCTCTTTGGCTAGGACGGTGTCGTTGTTGTACGCTGCAGCGTGCAAGGCGGTCCCGAGAAAAGGATGGCTTGTATTGGCATGTATGCCCTGATCCAGGGCCGATATAACAATACTCTGTAAGCCCATCCAAGCTGCCAGAAGGAAGGTAATGCAGTTGTTGTCTTCCTGCCACGATTCTATCCAAGGCATCACGGCGGTCCTGTAGTTCCGGAGCACCCACTCCCGACCGTTATACGTAGTCAGGGCGACGCTGATAGCTCTCAAGCAACGGTTCGTACTGCATTTGGTGCGATCATGCTCACTTGCACATGTTCTCATGTAGTCTCGGATCTTAGTAACCTGGGTCTTGAGTGCTGTATCCTGGTTTATATATTCGAGGAGAACCCGGGACAACAGACGATTGCTGATGCGCTCGTCCACTGTGTTGATGTAGAGAAGATTCACCACGATAACTTCATTCAGATAACCTATACATGACTGAACTTTAGTATTCCGAATCCAGCCAGTATTGACCAGACTGTGCGGGAAAGACAAAGCATACTACAAACCATCCTCACCGACAACAGTTCCTCCAGACTAAGATAACGCAGGAACCCTAGGACCACGTCCACGCAGAGATCCGCCAGACCCATAATTACTGAGATCTTTGCAGGCCTGTAGCGAGGCACAAGCTGGACAGAGGAGAAATGAATACTCCATCGCTATTTATATCCTCCGTAGGCATGCAGGAGTGAAATGGGTGGCTGTCAGATGAAACATGCCAAGAATGGAGATCAAACCGGGGAACTGTAAGGTTGTAGCTGGCTAGCTGAACAAAATAGAAGGTTTTAGATATGGCGTCGCTCACTATGGTAAAACTGCAATGTAGGTCTTGAGCTGCCAGCAAGACGATCGAAACTTTGGTGTTGTAGCTTGGTTGTGTTGTGGTGATGGCGGACCGTAACTTAGTCTACATTGATATGAAATCTGTTGGTATGTGTGCGGAATTCGTTCTTCAATCCCACACCACTATCCTAATTGCAATGCGGGAAATGCAGTAAGGCTTGTGTCTAGCCTCTGGAAAGAATAGAATCCAAATATAGATCAACTCTGAGGTTCGTCCACCAGATGTACTAGTTCAGATATATTTTTTGCTGTTGTGGAAGCTCGGGACGTCCCGAACGCGATGGGTTCCGGAACTATGAGGTTGGTATGTTGGGTCCAGCAGATTCCTGACACTAAAATGATCATAAGTCGAGCGGGGTCATAAAAGGTTAGCATCTATTACTAAAATTGAACCTAACTCACATTCAGAACTGCCCAATCTGCAAGATTTTCCTCAGAAGATTGAGTTCGTTCAAGAATTAGGGTTTACATTAAACCCAGCAAGGTTATCGGAACATCTAGTTTTTCGACAGTAGAAAGTGACCATACATGATGTCTCAGTTGATGGAAAGTAACATGACAGATTGTGGTCTATCTTGCTGAGGTACATTTCGTGCTTGTTGAATTAGAACCTCGAAGTTCATTTGATTGGCATTATTGGCCAATTTCATGCCGTGTCCACCTTGACAATTTCAAACTCTTGTTCAAGAGTGGACCCAGCCTTCAGCTGAACAACATACCACTAGCCGAGCGCCAATCTATCCCCTCTTCAAACCCGGTGCTACTAAGTACTTAGTGCGTACATCATCCATCAAGTTTCCCCTCCAGCCACATATCCCTCGCTAACAGAAAATCAAGGAGACCACACAACCAGAATGTCTACTTCGGGCCTGCTCTATGCAGCCTCAAGGCTCAATTCTCCCTCGAAAACATTAACAGATGTCTTTAACACCTGGTATAATGACATCCATGTGCGTGATGTCCTCAACACCTCGGGAATCAACTCCGCAGCCCGCTATGAAACGGCTGCAGTGCCCCAAGACAGTTCCCCATGGACATTCCTTGCTCTCTACCCCGTCCCAGACATCGAGTTTCTGAACACGGAGGAGTTTACGAGCATCCCTGTGACTAGTGATGTTCTGCCGGGGCCAACACACAGTTGTATGGATATAGCGCATTTCGATATCAGGCGATACCGCGAGGTCGGGAGACGGGAAGACCCGGATATGCCAGCAGGTGAGACTTATAAGACAAGAGAAGAGAAGGGCAAAAGCTGACTCACTCCTGTGATGTTATTGTGTGTTAGGTCCAACGTCTCATCTCCTTACTGTGGAATTTGACTTGCCTTCACACATTGACAAAGCCGATGATCAGGCTGTGATGGATTGGTTCTGTGGAATATATAGTAATGGCACGCCTCAGCGGGTGGCCATTCATGAGGTCTTCTGGGCTATGTTGTTCCCGGACGGGAAACCAGCAGAGCCGCCGCGTTACTTGGCTTTGGTAAGCTGTACATTCCTAGCTTTTGCCTCATCTTGACTGATAGATGATAGTTGGAACCTAATGGTGATGACAATGTGTACGACGAAGCTATCAAGAAGATACAATTGGTCGCAAATGTTGCCCAGTGGAAAGTGCACAAGGTCTTTGACTGAGTATGATTCACTTGCTGAAGACTCCACTCAGAGGGTGATATATCCGTATATTCTCCCTCTGAACGTACTATGGCCGTATCGTTTTTGGGAATTCTTGCGTTCTATAATAGGATAGCTCGTCATGTTCTAGGGTAGATAAAGGGTTTCAATATTCATAGATATCAGAAGATCCCAACTACATCATCATGTCACATTTAAAAGAGACCATCAATGTAGAACATGAATGCTGAGGGATGCGGGTATATCTAATCAAAACATTGTGTACGTCGTCTCTCTTATTCTGTATCATGCAAAGCTGAACACTCAACCCTGTCCCATCATAGTGAGGATTTATAGACTGACGGATCGACAAATGGAGTACCTCCCCGTTTGGAGAATCCCCAGCGAATCTGGCCCGGCATAGCAATCTCAACATCGAGGTGCTGCGCGAAGGTCCAGACCAATCCAGGATCTTTCTGAAATCCACGCCCAACAAGAATGACATCCAATCCTTCTTCTTCAAGTAACCGATTTGCCAGCCTCCCATCTTTGATATGACCAACAGTAGCAACTAGCATCTTTTCCCCAACCGCCTTCTTAACCGCAATGCCAAACGGTGCCTGAAACCCAGGACCGGGCTTCACTTTTTGACTCGAATGTAAACCGCCAGAAGAAACATCAATTAGATCGATAGCTCCTTGAGCGACCAACGCTTCAGCAAACCTCACTGCATCCTGCAGGCCCCAGGTTTCTTCCAAACCACTATTCAGCCAATCCGACGCCGAAAGGCGCAGAAAAACAGGTACATGCTCACCCACCGTATCGCGAGTCAACTGCGCAATTTCCAACGGCAATCGCATCCGGTTCTCAAAAGATCCACCATACTCATCCGTCCGCTTGTTCGCGTAGGGGGTCAAAAACGATGCGAGCAGATATCCATGGGCATTATGAATTTCAATGAAATCCGCTCCGGCCACAATGGCCCGCTTCGTGGCCGCAACCCACGCCTCCTTGAACTCGCGGATGTCGTCCTTGCTCATAGCTTGCGGTTTCGGGAATGTCTCGCTGAACGGTACATCACTGGGTCCTTTGACATTATTGGGCCATCCACCAACGTTCTCTGTCGCTATGTTGCCATGGTTCATCATCCATGGTGGAGTAGTACTCGCTTTCCGACCTGCGTGCGCAAGCTGTATACCGATCTTCTGGCCTTGGCTATGCGCGAACTCGATGACTCGGGCTATTGGCGCGATTTGGGAGTCTTTCCATAGCCCGACATCCTGCGGTGAGATGCGACCTTCCGGTTGCACAGCGGTGGCCTCGATTATGATAAGACCTGGGCCTCGCTGGGCTATACCGCCCAGGTGGGCGAGGTGGTAGTCTGTCATGTGTCCATCATCGGCGGAGTACTGGCACATTGGGGATACCTAGAGCAGTCATTGTCAACAGGCCGTTAGCTTGGTGGTGGTTGGTTTATTACCCCAAGACGATTTTGAAATGTTAATCCTCGAATAGTAATCGGCTGAAAGAGCTTGGGTATTGCCTTTCCACTAGTCTGCGGGTTCGCTGCTGTCCCTGCTGGGATTTGTTGTGCTGGGGTAAAGTAGGAAATGCCCTTGGCAGGCTCGATCTTGATGTCCTTCATTCTGCTTTCTTCTGCTGATATTTTCGACTCTTTCTGTTGCCGTGAGGGGCCGGTCACTTCAAAAATCAAATAGTAGGAATTGACATTTGTTTGCGTCACATTCTTCATCAACAACAACCCCCTCCCCGAGCTCACATTAGTCCCATCTGGTGCGGGGTTGATCGACAATTTGTAATCCTACATCCTGTATCCACCAATCTCAAGATATTGTGGTGCTTTCTTTTCCAACTAGACAAATCACCTAAGGAGATATGAAACCTCGGCAACTTACATCGACACGTAGACTGTGCGGAAATTCCGAGTCATCGGGTCTCCAGTATATACTGTAACTAGTATCTAATAATCGATTAAAGCAACATAACTTGCAGTAGAAGTAAAGAACAAATAGTCCATGGGAACACCAGATATGTACATTCGTCAAATATATGTTGTCGATTAACGAGTAAGCCCAGCACTCACTTTGGCAATGTGACAAGGTTACTCAGGATAACTTCGAAGCAAACTCTGCATACTCTTCTCAGTAACAATTTAATCTTACCGCACCATGTAGCTGCATTTTTCAAATGAAAGGGTTGAAGATACACTCATGCTTTAAGCATACTTGACTGATAACTCATAATGTGTCGCTTTTCGCACGAGTCATCGTTAGATCTGACAAACTGCATTAGACGTAATATTTGTGTGTCCTCCTTTTGAAAAGAAATGGTGACTCTGAAGAGTCCACATCTCTACTTAGCCTTTTATAAGTATTGTTTGAATCACCTTTCCAGAGCTGAGATAATATTTTTCTGGTTGCCTGTTGCGAATGGATGCACGTGATATGAAGCAGACGGAGTAATATCTATGCCTAAGGCAGTGTGTCAACTAGGTGATCCAGAGCATATTCCATAACTACGAATTGGTAAATAGTTCATGTTAGGCATGAGTCAACTGTGACTCCGCTATGCCTTTTGTATAGAGACAGCTGGAAGAAAGTGACTACAGGAACTTGAATGCCTAAATTCCGAGATTAAGTAGGGTTTGGGGGGTCCTGAAATAGTATACTATTAAGTTCCTCCTTTGGATTCATATAGTATAAGTTGCTGTGGCAGTTTTAAATACTAGTAGGGAGGATTCTTGTAGACGTGTATAAACCAATGAGTATATATAGTGCCTATCACTGAGCCAAATTGGAAATTGCGCACTGCAACAGAAAATAATATATGGAGTGAAGAAAACACATCAATGGTAATATTCAGACATAAACAAACAAAAGAGAAAAAAAAGTAATGCTAAGAAGGACGGACTTCCGCTCAATAGCAAGTTGGTTCAATCAACACGGTCATTTCCCCAAGTTACTGTACAAGCCTGCTCTGCTCTATACAAAACAATATATCCATCTAGTCCTCCAATCCCACCCCGCCCCAATTCAAACCACTTCTCAATCCCCCATTCAGATCTTACAACAAGAAACCCGCAGTCGAGCCAAAGAACAACAGCGCCAACACACCCACACTCTTCTTCGTAACCGCGACACCAGCACCACTAGTCGAAGAAGCCGACGAACCGCTCGAAGTGCTGGACCCAGTGCTAGACGAGCCACCAGTAGCAGTAGCAGTTGAGACGACAGTGCCAGCGCCAGTGGTAGGAACGCTACCGGTAGCAGTAGCGTTGGCGTTAGTGTTACACCAGACCTCACCGGCCTCGGAAGCCTTGATGAGACATTCAGCCAGGGTACCGACGGTCTGGTCCTGAGCCAGACAGTAGTAGTCGCAGCTGTCGTAGGAGACGATGGAGGCCGAGCCACAGCAGCTGCTCATGATGGCGGAGTTGTTGTTGCGCATGGGCATGGCGCAGGCGGCATCTTTGACGGGGATGTCGTAGAGCTTATTGATGCAGGTGGAGGAGGCGGAGGCGGCGGTGCCGGTCGAGGTGGTTGTCACGGACATGGTGGTGGTAGTGGTATTAGTGAGTGGATTTGGTGAAATGGATATTTGTTGAAGATAGTTTTATTAAGGTTGAAGAACGAGTGTGAGAATGGTAGAGATTTTTTTTTCTTGTTGGTATGGATGGATCTGAGCCACTGAAATAGATGGAGTATGGAGAAATGAAAGCCACAAAGGGTCAGGTCCCTACTTATAACTGTTCGGTACTACTTCTTTCTTCCTATGGGTCTTCCTTTTAATGTCAGTGCCTGGTACCTAACTTAGAAGCGACCCGGAAAGGGCTAGCCATGGGTTGGTTGGTTACAGACATGGCTGTAGGTTCACCGCTACGGCTCGCCCCTGATCCCTCTGTCTATCTATCTATCTCCACTAGAGACCCTCAGCCTCCCTCAGTCCCATATCCTTTCTTCTATTTATGGGCCCTCGCTAGACCGGATCGAGCCCTACGGGCTGCGTTGCATCCCTGAGGGTCAGCGCTACCGGATGGCGAAGTGCATATGGCTGGACTAGGATTAAGGGTACATGGTTAGCACTACGAATTGAGACTGTGGATAGCTGATTTCTGCTTTTGATCTCTGTTTCTAAAAGACATCGACTATGGCTACTAGATGACGCGTGCAGTAGATAGCATGATACTGCGATATAGCTAGCTCTGCTTGGCATTGTAGTGGATATACCGAATCAGAAGCACAACGGAGTGAGACAAGTGGAGGCCATCGACCCTGTCCACTCTGGAGGGAGCGGAATGGGGCGTTATGGGGGCACTGGGGATGAAGTCACTTCCATGTTGCGTCCAGAGCGGTCCCTTGCCCTGGTCTATATTCCTTTTGTATTATATTGCAGCTGCATGTTAAGCGAATGATTGGGCTACTCGTGGTGACTTCAATATGGTGCCAGACTATGCATCGACTGCAGTGATGGGTATCATGTCACAGTCGGAAGAAGACGATACATCAAAGTACATGATGCATGCATGGCCAGGCAGCAAGCAGGTACCAACGCACTCCCGTACCGAGTCATCATCCATAACTCACCAGTCGGAAACGAGCGGTTCGTCCCAACGGGAGGGAGGCAAAAAGGAATGAAAATTTCGGATACCAGCCTTGGCAGATAGGCTTATGGGTGTCCAGTTAAGGAGTGAGGATATAACTTTTCCCTGGAGTTGTGAGATCGCCCGTATAGTCTTGCGATCTATTCGGAATCCGGTGGCGTCGCTTAACTGTTTGCGACGGATAGCCAAGAAATCTCCAGATCTCCGCTGGCATCGCCAAAGTTGCCTGCTATAATTGTCACCCGTGGAAGACAGACAACACAGCCATCGCTGAGGATTTTGTTCTCTTGAAAATCTTTAAATAGGCCCATCTATAGATAGGTGGTGAGTGGGAGAGCGGGTCAGCCGGTAAAGAATTCTGGACGGTGGTGTTGTTGTGGAGAGCCCGGGTAAAAACTATTCAGGGCTGTCCATCTCCACAACTCCCACAGGGCGACTGCTTGCCCTGCAGTTTCAACTTGATTGTTCAATCAATTATCGAAATTGGACTTTGAATGATAAGCACGAGTCATAGGCAGAGCTGGTTAATAATCCCGACTGTTGCAGACTTATGTTAAACATAATTCACAGAAAGATAAACAACGGGTAAGAGGGAGTGCTGCTCCTGCACGTAGCAGTACAAAGCACAAGTATGTTGCACAAGGCATTTCAGAAGGCCCGAGCCTCCCACCTCAAGGTTACTCAACATCTGACTGTCCACACATATCGATCGATGATTTGAGATTCGATGCAGGACTCAGAGGGACCGAATCAGCCAACTCTCTCACTCAATTAGGATGCACGAATGCCGCACCATCATATTAACTAAACTTACCATATTTCCCAGTCTACTCTACCTCATGTTAAGAGTAGATGAATTCCACAGAGGTACTCGATACTTAGGAAAAAATAAACCCAACGGGAATGTAGTAAATAGTGTCGCCTTCAGGGCAAAGGCAACTCTCAACCCAGGCTTAAGCTTTAGGGTCCCCACTTGGGGGAGATCAACAGCAGAAGATCAGCTCCATTCCGGGAAAACCCCCTTGGAAAACAAACAATCACCCCAATGAGGTAGTCTAGTCAGTTACTTAGTTAGTTAGTTACCTGCACAAGTGCGCCCTTGCCAATGGATTCTTCATCAAGACAAGACTACTTATGATCTTCCCGTCATCCGGACCAGTAATCACTCTTCAACCAAGAAAAAGCCATAGAATCACTTAATGAATAATCATCAGTCTGACCATAACCCGATCAAGTCATCATCCCCGGTGTGACGTTAATCCTCAGCTCAACTGATCACAAGTAATAATTACTAGCTTCACTAGCCGATCGGAGACCAGAAAGCACGCAAAAGCAACGATCAACTAGAGGCAATAGTCCCATCTGAAGAGGTGGAGAAAGAATCACATTGATTATGGAAGAAATGGACAATTTATACTCCGTAATGTACATAAAAGACCCCTGCTTCGAGTTAAAGCAACTTTTCACTTTCAGATCAGCGAGTCTATTCATCCCATTGCATCCCTGCCTTGTTATTTTTTTTCTTTTTTCTTTTTGCTGTTTAGTACTTCCCCCTGCAGCACGACAACAATGTTCAAACACTCGCTTGCATGCCTGGCTCTCCTGGCAACCGGATGTCTCTCATCAACCACAACCACTAGCAGGCCAGGCTATTCACGGAATATCACCTCGACCGTTACCGACCCGTCGTTTAGTTTCGGGAATCATTATGCAGTGCTTAATCTAGATCTTATCGATGGGCTGGTGGCCAATGTGAATACTACCAGGTCCGGGCAGTTGTGGATTGATAATGTTGCGAATTGGATTGATGCGTATGTATTCCTTCGGTCTTGAAGGCTGTGAGTGTATTATACTTATGCCGTGAAGCGTGCACAAGCAGGACCCTCCCCCCTTGAGTATCTTCACTCGCATCTTCTTCTCCAATACCTACCGTCCTGAACTCGGCAATGCTCCCTTCGCCAGCGCGGTGACTAACCTCGGCAACGCCACGGCTTCGAGTCCCGATAGTCAGATCTATTCTGCTTTCAAGACCCTGGATAACTATGATGTGGTGCTGCAGAAGGCGCGGTATTATGCTGGTGCTGGGAATCAGCTGGAGGAGATCCTCAGTACTCAGAAAATTGATACAGTGATTTTGGTAGGTGATGCCATGCGATGGAGCGGAAATAATGTCAACAGATTTGCTGATCAATGTGTAACTGGTAGTCTGGGATCCGTACTTCGGGAGTAGTGCTTAGCACTGCGTTTCGTCTGTTGGATATGAACTACAATGTGTAAGCCAACATCACGATTTAAGACAGACCACAAGAAAGGGGAGTGCACTGCTAACGCATCATGCTTCGTTATGACAGCTACGTGATCTCGAACAATACGATCGAGACTCCCTCGTCATATGCCGCCCTGAATCAGAAGATTATTTTGGAAGGCATACTTCCCGAACTGCCGGTCAATGTAATCACTATTGAGCAGGCTATTGGGGCTCTCAACCGCTCTGGACCAGCTGTGTATTAGCTGGCAGGCCGGACAACCTGATGGAAACGATGATATAACGCCCAAACATATGGTTATGATGAACAGCAATTACAGACTATGATCGATCTATTTATGATAGATAAACTATACTGAATGGTAACCTTTGGAAGCACATTAGTGGTTGGGAAAGTTTGTCCCAGCGACAGCAAGGACAAAAGTCCCAACTGTATGCGTCCGACCAGTGAACGCAAATAATCATGCATCTGGAAAGCGAGCATGGGTGGCGCCTGCATGCAATAGCACAGGGAGCAGGTTGCCCTGGTGCCACACCGTGCATGAATTCCGGGTCTCGCAGGTCGGCGGCTGCACCGCACATACTTGAGACATCGAGGGCGCCAACAAATATTAATCTGCATGGAACCGGAGATAAAGATGGGCTGTGTTGAGTAGAAGTAGTTTGGAAATCCTCCCCAACCAATGTTTTAGTCGAGAACAAAGCATTCCATTGAGACGGTTGCCAACAATTGCCAGAAGGCGCAAACGCTGACATGCCGCATGGGCGGTGCTGGTCGCTCACGGATCCAAGCCAGCGGCAAAACAGTGAGTGGCCGGGACCCTCGCCGGACGGGTTCGGAGTTGACCCGGTCGCAATCACCAAGCCGACCCGGACAAGACAGGGGTGGAATGATAACATCAAATACCATCGCCTATTATTATACCAGGATGAGGAGAAGGGGATAATTACATGCCCGGAAGCTTTACGGAGTACTGCGTGAGCAGCCCGTAGTCAGCAATCGGGTCGATGAAGCGCAGCAAGGCGTGGGGTGCCAAGACTCGAGGGCGCGAGAAAGATTGACGAGAGAAGCCCGAGGGCCGGGAAATCTTCAGACAGGCTTGTGGATTTGGCGAAGACCAAGTCCGACGTTCGTCGTGAGTCAGTCATGACAGCTGAGCGCCTGGTTCGGGGGGACTTGGCAGTTGTCGGTGCGTTTTCTTAGCCCATCAGTGGCTGTTTCCATGTTCCACATCCGAAACAAACTCGACAAAAACCTGAGGAATGATGAAATTCGGATAGCTTACGTAGGATGGGTGGCACAGCGCGTCGATCCGTTCACCTCAAACCTTGAAATGGGAAGCAAAAGAGGAGGCCAACCAAAGATTGGCAGCAGAAGAATGGATACGGCCCAATTTCGATGGAAGGGGACACCAGACGAGCTAGTGCACGCGCTACAGTAGCGTGGTCGGCGATGTGCACAGTGCGTCAAATGATCGCGAGCAGATAGGAAATTAACGAGATTAAGCTGATGGCCCTAATTGCGTTGGAACCAGAATTGCTCCCTGGATGGAGTTCTTGTTGCTATTATGGGATTCTTGGTGGGAAACTCAACCTGGTTTGGGATTTCAAACACCGGCGCATCCAGACCTCTCTGGGTCAACAATAGGAGTACGTACTTTGCGAGGGTATATTCAACGACTAGAACTACTAGGACTAGTGTCGAAGAGGCAAATAAGAGCGAAGTATACTGGCCATTGTACGGAGTATGTGGTATTACTTTGCACAAACGAGTTCGGAGGCCGAATGGATAGATCCTGTGAGGTGGAGGGAGCGGACGAACCATACGCCTTGGCTGGGCAGTAAGTGGGAATGGGAATATCTCCCTGAACTCGCCAAGTAACCAAGTGAATATTAGAGGTTCCGCTTCGGCCGTGGAGTTATATCGCGATCAGCTACGATCGCCACAAGTTGGTGTGACAGGTAATTCCACGATCCGATGATTGTCGCGACACCTCCCGCATTCTGCGAGGAACATTTCTTTTTAGGAAGTCGTGGTGCCTCAACCCTGCCTCATTGGGCAACCACGATTGGCACATTTTGGGTTAGAAAGCGATGGCCGGTGGCTGTTAAGGGGAGAAAGCAGAGGGAAAAGAGTAAAAGCGTGGGAAAGAGAGGCGCAAGGTTCGCAATGGCAGATCGTCAGCCCCCGTTTTCACCAACAATGCAGATTGCACCCTGCAAGGAACTTATTGGTGGTACCGGGCATGGAAAATGCCAAAAGGGGGAGACTCCTCCTACTCATAAGTAGCGATAAGATTTATCACAGTTTAATAACCTACATTTAGGGGGGCAACACTATCTTCCCTTCAGATTTTTATCAAATTATAAGTCTAGTTCAGCTTACGCAGTGTTTCTGCCAGGATTGAGATTAAGGGAGAAGGAGAGATTAGAGTATTAATATCAGGTTTGGGTGGCGCGTCCCGTATCAGTGGACGAGACAGCGACGACTGCGATAGGGCCGAGGCCATGACAGGCTAACCCCAAAGCAGGCAAGATCCGGTCCTCTTCTGGTCCTTCCGCCAACGGTATTACTTAATGCGGGGTAGCGCCTTTTCCTCGTGGCGGCTAATCTCGAAGCGGCCGGTTTATCAGCTGACCCCGCCTGGATTTTTCGTTCGTTCGTTCGTTCGCCGGCGTCATCAGCGCGTCGAAGCTACTTACTCAAGTCAAGTTCTTTGCTGGATCTGCTTTTCAGATTGGCTTTCCCTTCGCCTGCTTAAGAAGGTCTGAGGTTCTGGGATCATCTCTTCGGTGTTCCCCGCCGTCCGTTCCCTCTTCCCTGCCTTTTCTCTTCTCTCGCCTCTCCTCTTCTTCTTTCCCTCTCTCTCTCTCTCTCACCCTCTTAATTTTCTTACCTTTCATTCCTTTGAACCTACCGCGATTTGTTCTGGTCCTTCCCTCCACCATATAAGGACCCCTTCTCTGCTAATGCACTGATACAACACATCTCCATCCTACCCGTTCTTCTTCTTGGCCCCCAGGGCCTCCTTCAGCGCCAAGTGCCACGCGGTTTACTTTAGGTTGACCCGAGGGATTCGCATCTAGACCCCGAACTTGCCCGCTCCCAGTCCACCATATTACCCGCGACGCCTCTTTCACGGGCCTTTTGTCAGCTGCAACAAAGGGAAAAGACAGAAGAAGAATAATAGAAAAGAAAGACAAACAATCAGCGGAATATATACTCAAATAAAAATCAATACAGCCAGGATAGGAACACTCATTCCATCAGCTGCCCTGTTCTTTCCGTTCGATGGTCCATTCGGATTCGGCCCAACCGACCGATAGGTCAGGATCTACCCTTCACCAACCACAGTTACACGAAGCCAACAACTCAACGGCTTCGGATGACAATGAAATTGGTGCACCCTCTGCTATAGTCCCCGGTCAAGGGAGTTTTCATACTCCTCCGCTTTATATCGAAAAATCTCCTGCAGTCCCTCTGCAGGATGTAACACTGGAGCACCACTCACACCCCCATCATCTGCCTTCGCTTCAGATTCGCACGGATCTGTCAACCGCCAGCCAGATGAGCCCGCCAAGGGAACCTGAGTCATTCGTGCATCACAGCATCTCGTCCAGCAGTCTCCCCCGGCGCACTCCAAGCCTGCGCGGTCTGTTCGCCGGCCCTCCAACCAGCGCAGGATCTTTGACTCTGTCTCCAGCCTCGCTCATATCTTCCCCTCAACTCATGGCCATGGGAGACATCACGCCTTTGCCATCGCCCATCGGTGGCATGTCGCCATGGAAACTACCACGGCGCAATTCCCAGTCTTTGTCTCGGACGCCTTCAACAACCTCTCGCAGCGGTTCCAGTCTCGGTTTGCGACTAAGCGATTCCTCCCAAATGCTTGGTGCTTGCGAATCCCGGCCACGAAGCAGGCAATACATGCTCCCTGACAAGCTGTCTGAAACACCTATTGAGACGCCCATCGAGTCTCCAACAAAACCACGTCAAGGATCTGGGTCAAAGCATTCTCGCAACCGCAGCTTAAGCGAGTATGTACCTCCCGGTCGCGCTATCCCGGTCAAGCCACGGCCTATTGCAGTTTCAGGACCAGGATTGCCCCCGGGGATCAATGCATCTGTCAGCACCGACTCGAAGACGAACAACAACAGCAATAACCTTCATCGCGAAGAGTATCTGGCCGTCCACCGTGGGATCGCGTTGCCCACTGTCCGCCCTCCTACGCCTCCTCGTAGCAGTCGCAGTGGCTCCGATGAACGCGATGACGAACCCGTTATAACACCGTTGGCAGCTGGCCCTGATGAGATATACTCGGTACGTTCTGTGCGCACACAACAACGTCGCAAGTACCGCAAGATACGTCAGCTAGGTCACGGAACATTCAGTCAAGTCTCTCTCGCGGCACGTATAGAAAGACGAGAAAGCGACGACGAAACCATGTTTTCCAGTCTTCAAGATGTGAATCTGGTCACACAGAAGCTTGTTGCGGTCAAGATTATCGAATATGGACCGGCCGGTGGTGCAGATGAGGAGCGCTTGGAGGTTTCCCTCAAGCGCGAGGTGGACATACTCAAATCTGTCAATCATCCGTCACTGGTGCAATTGAAAGCATTTGGTAGCGACGAGAAGCGCGCGCTATTGGTTCTCGACTATTGTCCCGGAGGTGACCTTTTTGACGTGGCATCGTCGAGTCCACGTCCCATGAGTCCGCAACTCATTCGTCGTATCTTTGCCGAATTGGTGGGGGCTGTGCGCTACCTGCATGCAAATTTCATTGTGCACCGCGACATCAAACTTGAGAGTGAGTATCCTTTGATTCTTTCCCCTGTTTACAGCGATCAAGACTGACAGCTGTTCCTCTTCAGACGTGCTTGTCAATCTGCCGATGCAAGCGATAGAGGCGATCACGGATTGGCGCACATACGATCGAGCCGTCATCACCCTCAGCGATCTGGGTCTGTCCCGACGAATACCCGAGCCTCCCGAAAGCCCTCTGCTCCAGACCCGTTGTGGCAGCGAGGACTACGCAGCCCCTGAGATCCTGATGGGACAGCCGTATGATGGACGATCAACAGACGCATGGGCCCTAGGAGTGTTGTTATACGCCATGATGGAAAATCGGCTCCCGTTCGACGCATTGCCGGGCACCCGAGGCGACCCTGCCAAACTCCGCGCGCGAACGCCCCACCGCATCGCACGAGTCGAGTGGTCCTGGTACCGATATGCCGACAGCGACGACGAATGGGATCCTGAGAAAGGCAAGGATCTCGAAGGCGCCCGCGATTGCGTCGAGGGGCTATTGAAACGCAATACGAAACGAAAAAGTCTAGACGAGATCGCGTCGATGGCGTGGGTTAAGGAGGCGATCGACATACCCGGCGAACTAAAGAGGGGGGATAAGGAAGTGCCATAGAGCTGGTCTCTTTCAGTGGTTTTTTCTCCCCTCCATTACATAACATTCTTCTCTTTTCCCTTCTTTTCTTCCGTTCTTACCCTGCTTACTTACCATTCTTCCTTCTTTCTTCTTTCTTTCGTTTTAGACTTGCATCTTATATCTCTTTACTAACATTCGTTTACTGGCGCACCGCGACCATATATAATTCTTATTATTCTTGGGTTTGGGGATGGATGAGTTTTGTGTCCTTGAAGACGCCATGCATTGCAGCATCAAGAACTGCTTACCTTACCTACTACTTACTTACTTAGTCTTGTTAACTTACCTAGCATGAGCCGACGTTCACTTGGGTCTTCCGGCCCGATGATCCCTATTACTGTCTGTTCGTTTCCTTTTAATGTTCACGATTATTCATACTACCAACTTTGTCAGATTCTAGATGCTATACCATACTATACTATACCCTTTCGAAAAGGCCCATTCACCTGTTTTCTATTGCGGAATTACTTAACTTTAACTGCAATTGCTGTGGAACCAAATGTTAAGTCAATAACAAGTACCACGGGTGTTGAAGAAAGAAAAGGAGACTCACCAGTGTCGCAGACAAATAAATAGATGAACATGCAGTAATCAATTAGCGTGGTAGGCAATTTATGATATCACCCATGATCATTTCCATGCATTGCATTGATTGATTCATTGATTGAGCGATCAATCTAGAAGAACTAATTACCGAGTACGTGGTCAGTTAATGATGGTCTGCAGGCACTTAGTCTATAGTAGCCCTTTAAGCAAGTAGTGAAATTTGAGTGAACTACTTGCTCAAGCGAGTATTATTGCCGATCTGGAAAGAAGGCTACGACTGATCGTACTTTGGAGAGAGGGGTGGGGAGGGGAGGGGGAGGAGTGTTATGCAGTAAGCAATTACTACCACTTAATAACCGACATGATCATGTCCAATATTCTGTCTGTCTGGGTTGATTATCACCAGGATAGGAAATTGGTCGTGCAGGTGAAGAGTCGGTCAGACGTGACTATATTAGTCTTATTAATTCTCGATCGCTACATCTTAATATGTAGTAGCAATCTTATAGAGGTTGAAATAATGAGCGCGGATGATCGGATGGCGGGCGGATCGGTGGCTTTCGCTTCCAGGAAGAGAAGCCGAGAAACCCCTGAAGAGAACCAATGTTTCCTGTTCGTTTTCTTCTTCTCCCCCGCTGACGACGGACGGCGCGCCCGTCCAGCACAAACCCCCTGATTGGCTTCAGGCTGATGGATGTGGTTTCGAGAAGACCAATAGAATGATGTGGCCCGATCAGCAGGAAAAGTGAGTGGTTGGCCATTACAATCCAGCACTGTTTTGTAAGCCCTAGACTTTTGGTACTAGTAATAGATTGAACTGTCTGGACAAATGGCAGTCAGTAACTAATTGCAACTGCAGCGGGAGTGGAGGCTGACGACAGCTGCTGGGCGGTCTGTGTGTCCTCGAATCGTATAAGATAGATAGTAGTAATCTGTCCAGTTGCTTCAGTTGTTGTTGCCTGCTCATTGTAAGAATGTTAATGGTACGTAGGCAGATGTCCGGATGCCCGCGGGACCCAGACTCAAAAGTGGACACGCAAAATTCTTGAGGATCCAAAGCCAAAGACTGTTTTGCTATCGATTAGTCCCTTTTCTTCTCTCACACTTGCCACGTCCCAGGGTCTGACGGATTGTCTCGAAATAGGAGAAACCGACTTGGCCCCGTGGACTAGTCTCACTAATCATATAGTGTGGAGTCACCCTGCAACTGCTAAGCCCGCCGCGCGCCCCCCAATTCGAGGCCAACGACAGTCTCCCCTGTGCTGCCATTTTTAATCTTTCTGGGCGGGACCCCCCCCGGCAGTCTTATATGGCGCATCTCTTCCTCCCCTTCCCGGTTTCATCTCAATTTCCTTTCCCCTCTCCCCTTATCGGGGTTTTGTGGCTAGGCTGAGAGGTTCACCGCTTAATGCTCGTATTTGATCGCGTTCTTGCGCCCATATGTAATCCCGTCGTATATCCCCTTCCTCTCACTTCTCTCCCTCGACTGGCAATGGTGATTCGGAACCATGCCTCTTGAGTCCAATGAACCCCTCGATCGCGAGGATGCCCCGTTCCTCGCCTCGGGTCAAAGGCCCTCGTCCCCAGTGGAGGAGGAGTCTGGCCCGTCAGATGCACAGAAAGAACACCTTCGAAAAACTCGCCTTCGCTTAATGTTGACCCTTTTTGCTATGATCTTGGCCGTCGAAGTCGGCATCTGCATGTCCAACGGCCCCGTGACCCGTATATACGAGTCCATCGCCTGTCGAGAATACTACGCGCAATATGATCCCACCCAGATCGGGGCCGACGGCGAGGTCCAGGAGGAATTGTGCAAGGTCAAAGCGGTCCAGCAGGATCTGGCTGCAGTGAAGGGCTATATGGAGTTCTTCGATGGCATTCTGAGTAGGTCACGACGAAGGCACCGCCGGTTCGGAGGAGGCTATGTCGCATCTCTTGTTCCCTAGTCTCCACCGATTGGGCGCCTCCCTTTTGCACTTTATGCGCGACATATAAACGAGGACCCTTATTCACGTTCTTTCTCATCCAGGTGCTGTGCTAGCAATTCCATACGGCCTGTTGGCTGATCGACGGGGCCGGAAATCCACCATCTGTCTGAGCATTCCCGGTTTCGCCCTGAACTGCATTATTCAGCTGGTGGTTATGTGGCGCCCTGACGTCTTCCCTCTGCGAACTGTCTGGGCATCCTCTTTGGCTTGGTTGTTTGGCGGAGGCCCTGTTGTAGCATTTGCCATCATCTGGACAATGATGTCGGATGTGTCAACCGAAGAAGAAAGGTAGCGTGTTGTAATTCCACAACAGTTGGTAGGACTATAGCTAATGATTATCAGAGCGGCCATATTCTTCAGGTTCGGCGTGGCTAGCATGGGAGCCGATTTCGCCTCCAGTGCCGCCAGTTCCTGGTTAATGTCATTAGACCCATGGCTTCCTCTGTTGTTGGGCTGGGGTCTGGCTGTTATTGGCATGTTCTTCGCCTTATCATTACCGGAAACGATGCGTGTAGGATCATCGCAACCGACTTGGAAGCAGCCGAGCATGGAGATGAGCCAGGTATCACCCGGAAACGCCGAGTATAAGGAAGTTCCCAGCAAGGAACAAGAACACGAGGTACTCAGCGATGAAGAGACCCTTCAAGGGGAAGAAGCTTCTTTTACGACAAAGGCAACACGACCAACCTTCTTCGCTTCGGCGAAACAACGGTCTCGGGCCTATTTCGCGCCGTATTCCTTCATTTTCAGGAACAAGCAGATCATGCTCCTCCTCACCGCATTTCTTGTCTATCGACTGAGCCGTGGCTCGTCCTGGTTTTTGGTCCAGTACATTTCCACCCGGTATAAGTGGACCCTGGCAGAAGCGAACTTCCTCATGTCATTCAAGCCGGCCTTGACCATCCCGTTGTTCTTGTTCATCCTACCGGCTATTTCAAGACAACTTCTCAAAACCATGAAGCCGACCCAGAAAGACCTGCAGCTCATGCGCATCAGTATTGGGCTGTTGGCGGTCGGGACATTGGGAATCGGTCTTTCACCCAGCGTGGCGATGTTGATTCCCAGTCTGCTAGTTCAGACATCCGGGTCTGGATTTGTCTTCCTAACTCGTGCTCTCATTACCACGTTAGTGAATCGGGAAGAAACAGCCCGTCTCTTCACCATTATTGAGGTTCTGCAGTCAGTGGGCAATGTCATTGCCAGCTTGTCCATCACCACTGTGTTTCAAATAGGACTAGAACTGGGAGGGGCTTGGATCGGTCTGGCCTGGATGATGACCGCGACGGCCTTCACTCTGGTAGGCGTCGCTATCTGGATGTTCCGGATTCCCTCTCGTCAGTCGGATGACAAGATAGAGGAAGAGAACGTGGTCTTTTGAACTGGCGAGAATAGGCAATGTACATATATAGAGTTTAAGACTTTCACTTCATGTAAATAGTAAGGTTGAGAAAGAGAAAGGAGCTTGATTGAAGTCTGTCTAATGCGAGGGATGAACTGCGTTACTTACTATAACTATAGACGTGGGCGGTAAGTCAACCTTCCAGCCTCGGTTTCCCAATCAGGGAAGGTGATTACCCAAGCAGGACTAGTGCGGCATTGCAGCAGCAGCTCGACATGTGAACATCTTAATTCCCATTCCTTCGTGCTGAGATCAACAAATCACTGCGCCTTTCTGCTGGTGCCGCCAACAACCCCCCAGTCGGTTTTGAGTTGGCCGCCATATATACTCTTTGATAAGATATACTATCGACGTGCTCAGCAGATTTTCCCCCGCCTGCCGCGCAGACCGGACAACTTACACCCCACGTCTTGCTTCACAAGCTTACGGCAGTCTACTGTCAAAGTCTGGTCATGTCCAGTCTGCAATTTCACTGATCCCTCTAAACTCGTCGTCATCAAAGATTCCTTATCATGGAGAGATTCACCCAATTTCGCGATCGAGGTGCGTGCGCAGACCCCTTTTCCTACTCATTGGGTCCGCTTTCCATTACTGACGATGATGCGCTGTGTAGGAACGGGTGTCTCACCCTTCTTCCCAACTCCTCGTCCATCGCTCAGCTACCCTCAGTGGATACTACGAATCTTCCTCTTCTGTGTCCGTCTTCCGTTCTTCATACCCGTCTGCATCGGCTACTTCCTGCTTTTTCAATGGCTCCCGATCACATCGCTGGGAAGGAAGGCCGCTCTGTGGTGCATTCTAGGCGTGCCCAGCATCTGGTGGGTTGATCTTCAAGTGGACGGAGTAAGAAAAGGGTCAGTTGCGCTCCCTCTGCAAGTGTTCTGCTATTTTCCTCTAGAACATCTACTGAGCTGCTGCTCGATTTTTAGAACTCTCAACAACGACCGACACCAGAACCGCCTACCCGGTCCCGGATCCATCATTGCCTCCTCCTTCACCTCTCCAATTGATGCACTCTACCTGGCCGCTGTATTTGACCCCATCTTCGTGTCCTGTTATCCCTCCACGCGCGAAGTCGAACAACTATCCGTCTGGCAAGCAATTCTTCGCGCCTTCGCCCTCCCGCAAGCAAAACCCCAGCCCAAAGCCCGTACCGTCGATCTGAAAACCATCATGCGGAAGTACCCTGGCCGCCCTATTGCTTTGTTCCCTGAGTGCACGACCACCAACGGACAGGGCGTGCTGCCGCTAAGCCCCGTGCTGGCGAGCGCTCCTCACAAGACGAAGATCTTCCCTGTGGCTTTGCGATATGAGCCCAAAGACGTGGTGACTCCGGTCCCGGGGTCTTATATTACTTTCCTGTGGAGTCTGCTGGGTCGGCCGACGCATTACATTAAGGTGCGCATTGGACAGGCAGTCGTGGGTGTCGCTGCGGACGAACTGCCAACGCATGACGCTACCATGTTTGATCCTAGTGCTTCGGAGAATGGATACCCTCATGACAGAGACGATGAACGGCCCTTCAGCGAGACCTCCGTGATGGTGCTCGAAGAGCAGGTGCCGAACTATGTAGGGGATTCGCTGGCTCGCCTTGGCAGAGCCAGACGTGTAGCCGTGACGGCGCCGCAAAAGTTGGAATTTGTGAAGTTGTGGAAGAAGTCATATTGGACATGGTAATTTGCCGTCAACTACGGCTTGCAGATAGGCAGTTGCTTATAAGTAGATAATAATCAACATATTGGCGGAGCCACACTACATCCAGTCTTCTATTCTTAATGAAACCAGCACTTGTCAATCACTATCTAGAAGAAATGCACGTCCCTCCCAGAGTGAAACATCACCGGCAGAAGGACCTTGTCCGCGTGTAGGTCCTTGATCGCGGCGTGGAGATTCACCGGTATCTTGGCCAAAGCCATTTCAGTAAGACGGTCTTCCAAGTATTCAGCATAGTACTTATCGTAGAAGAATCGGATCCCCCAGCCAATCATCTTCAATGTTTTGGCGGTTGATGTCAAGGTGGTACTACCATCCGGAGGTGGTTGTTTTGCCTTGGCTTGTTTGCTCTGCTGGGGCTCATCTTCGTCATCACTAGAGTCACCCCAGGAGAAGCTCTCCTTGAGGTTTTCGTGGAACCAAGTTGCGTACGTCCCTGCCTTCTGTGCATCGAGGTAATGGTCAAGCATGTCGCACATCACTAGCTTCTTCTTGTGCATGAAGTTGTGCCAAAACTCGACCAAACCCTTCTCAGGAACGGCATTGGAGAAATTGAACTTGTCCGTGGCGATTCGGCGGGCATAGAATTCATTGCCTGTTCCCAGTTCCAATCGACAAAGAAACCATTGCGCCCCTGGCGTGCCGGAGAACCGTGCCAGAACCCATTCTCCAGCTATGGCGTGGAGGTTGGGTTCTGTGACGAAGTCAATCATGCGAGACACTCGTCTCTGCTCTGCCGAAGAGCCGTAGTTCTTGAGCTTGGGCCGACTGTCACGATCGACGTTGTCTGTTTCTTGGGAAGAAGCTGAATCCGGTGCTGGACCTTCACCATTGGTTTGTTTGTTTTGCTGGCTCTGGTTCGTTGGCTGTGCATCTGCATCAGTGTCAACCGCCTGTGCGGGCGTATTCGTGCTGGCTGGGGCGGCTTCTTTAAGGATGGTTTGCTCGATCACCTCGACCAAGTCCAGTTGCCTTTCAAGGACCTTTCGCTCACAGCAGAATGCTACCATTGTGAGAGTAAACCCAGTACTTATAGTACACCACCCATCGATCATCTCTTTGTCGCTTGCGGCATTTTTGACTTTCGCGCGAAGCTCTTCAGGCTGCAGCATGTTGACCACAATGCGCTGAATGTCAAACACACCCTTGATTCCAGAGCTGTTCACGACTATGGGGTTCGGGCAGATGATCTGCTCGTCACACTTGCTGATTCTAATGGCCTGCGCTCCAGATTCATTGCTTTTGCTGGGGGATTTCTCGTTCCCAACTGACGTTTCGTTGTCTCTGTGCGCGGGATTACTTTTTAGGGCCCTGTCAACAACACTCTTGATCTCAGCTTCGAATTGTTCTGCCTTCTTGGCGTTCTCTGCTGCCTTCTCTTTTTCTGCTGTCTTATCCCCAATGAAAGGATTCCCCTTGTGAAGGTTCGGTAGCTTAACTCCCCATGACTTCTTCCTTCCGATCCCTGGAGTTCCAGGTGTTTGGGGGGTCTGGGGAGTCACGGGCGTGTCGGACTTTTGCACATTCTCGTCCTGTTTCGCGTCTTCTTCCGACCATGTTTTCCGCGCATAATCGCCAGCATTTGCCAGTGTCTTGACGAGCTCTGGGAAATCTAGAAGGCTTTCCAGTTTTTGGCTATCATTTTCCCTGATGAACTTGACCATATCTAGAAGCAAACTGACCGTTTCTTCGGTCTGCTTGAATGTTGAGACGAAATTGCTGGCATCGAGCAGCATGTCAGTGATACCTTTTGCGATAGTCAAGGTTTTGGTGCGATCATTTCGGAAAATTCGAACGAGTTCACCATTTACATCGAAACGTGATTCGGTGTAGAAGGCGTCAATGTTCGATGCGTACAAAGACCGGCCGCGTATGGGGCTACCATTGTACTTGCCAGTCCAGTTGAAGACAGAAACATCGTTGGAGGTAATCACCACCTCATCCATTAGTCGAGACAGGGCCTTTGTCAGGCCCTCGGCTGGGAACGCTGGGAATTGCACTCCAAGGACACCCATCAACGAGTACGCCTTGTCAATAGCCTTGGTGCACTGTCGATGCGATGCCAGCATCATGACACTGTGAGCAGAGAAACGGCTCCTCTCCGTGCCATCCCACCAGCTGCTCAGGCCTTCGACGTTGCTGAACTCGGCGATTGTTTTACGATCAAGCTTGATGGATTTGGTTGCCTTGTGTGCGAGGGCTACAAGCAGCAGGCTTATTGTTCGCCTCACTGCCTTCTCCCGTTCCAGTCCATTATAGTGCTCAGATATATCTTCCAATATCTGCTCTCTAATGTCATGTTCCAGGTCTGTGTAGCTTGGCTTCTCCTTGAATGCTTCAACAACGAGTTGGACAGAGTAGCCGATACGAGCTCTCGCTGTTTGCTTATCCAACTTCTTGGGCGCGACATATCCAAATAGCCTCAGAGCCCGGATGATGCTCTCTGCGCCAATAGTCTGCATAGCAGTCAGACAATAGTATTTCATACCAGCTGCTTATCTTACCTCTTCAGCCTCACCCGGTGCGACTAAATTGATCTTTGAATTCTCAATCATCCCATTTTCCTCTGCGGCTGTTATCACTTCCCGTACATGGTCGACAAGTTTCAGTGCCTCGCCATCGATGTAATTGAGATTCTTGGTGTAAAATTCAATGAAAGGGCAAAAGTGATAGTAGTTTCCTAAACTGTCAACCGGTCGCGACAGCATCTTCCAGTCTGCATTGGCATAGAACGTCATTTTGCTGAGGACCAATTCCTGCAGTGTCCAGCCTCTGGTAGCCCATGTTGGCTTCCACCCTTTGACTTCGCTAAAGCGCGTGACAGGCTGGCATCTAGGCGCTGCCTTCATAGCTGTACTGACCACGTCGCTATCCTCGGTGTGATCCGGTTCCTCCTCTTCATTATTGCCTTTGCTTTTGCACCACAGGTCCCATTCATCCAACCATTCCCGGTTGTCCCACGGAGTATCCAGGTGAACCAGGCAGAAGTCTGCGTTTGCGTACCATTCTCCCATGCGTGCTAAAGACTCGCTCAATTCAGAGTCCTGTCGCTTGTTGATACAGCAATTATCCAGCCAGATATATCGTCTACCTGTCTCGGAGAAGGGTCTGTTCTGGAAAATATCTCGCGCACGGCTGATAGACTTTTGAAGCTTCCGTGCCGACCTCCTATGCTGCAAAGCCCTTACCAAATCGTCCATCTCATAAGACAATTGGCGGTTCGATCGATATTTCGAGATTCTGCTTTTCTCTGATGCGTAATCATGCTCAGCGCTGGAGTAGTTTTCCGCTGCATTCTTGGCCCTCTCCTCTGCATCTTTTTGTTGCTTCGCTAGGCTTGGTAGACTCTTAACTTCTTTCAAGAAGTCTAACAATTTCTGGTAGTTGGTTTGCTCCAGATCTGCCTGTCTCTTGTTTGCATTCGCAACAGTCCGCTTTTGCTTCGCATCAACCACATCTCTTTCCAGCATGGATACCCTAAGAGACGTCACGAGCAGTTGCCGGATTGATGTTCCTGCATCTGGTCTCTCCTGTAACAACTTGCGCAATTTTCCTGCGATTGTATTGATCTTCTGGTCGCAGAGGGCGAGAACCGCATCCACATCATTGTACCCAGTCAGCCCTCCCGGTGCCTCTTCAGCACGTTGGGCTTCGCACACAAGCGCATAATCAATTTCTGCACCTTTCCAACTATGAGACAGCATGCAGTATTGATCTTCCTCTCCAAAGAAACCTGTATCAACCAAATTCATCGTATCCAAGTCAAACATGCGGAGGGGGACTGAGTTGTCATCTACTTGTCCACCAAATGAGCTGATCAGGAGGTCGGAGTCTTCGCCCATCGACTTTTCCAAGTAGTCGTTGTACAGTTTAGGCTCTGTGCTAGACCTCAGAATAAGATGAAGAAGACCTCTTAGCTTTTCGTCGTTGGAGCTATTGTCTTTTGACACGATGCCCTTGACCTTGGCCATTTCACTGTTTGCGGATTCTCTCAGTTCCTTGGCGCCCATAACGAGGCTCGACTTCATGGCTGCATCGCGTATGCTGCCCAGGACTTCATCTCTGGTGATGACCTTCTCTGTTTCCGGTGTAGAGCCCTTCGGTTTGTTGGCCGGCGAGTCTCTTGGCCCATTGTCGTTGCTAACAAGGCCCGTTTCCGTTGGTGGATTGCGTAGACTACCCAGCATTTCGTTTGCTGAAGTGACCTGGCCTATTGTTGGAGATTCGACGACGGAGTTATCGTCGGCATCTGGCAGGATGGATACAGAGAGTTCCTTGTCCGATGAACGTCCGTGCCTCAAGGACGGTAGTTCAAACTTATGTTTGTTCTTGAACATCTTGCTGAGTTTTAGCGAAAGGAGCGGCTGACGATGGATGGCAGAGATTCACGAGAAATGTAGGAAGTGTGTTTGGTAGTCCAAAAGCCGGTTTCTGATGATGGATCAAGGAAGACCGCAGTCATATTGCCACGTTATATTCACAAATAAAGGCTTATCGAAGCTGTAGGCCATGCCAACCGCACTTCCATCTCCGCATCCAGCTATCTGCCACTTGCAGGTCGACTGGCGGAGATATCCGAAGGCCCGTAGCCTAGCCCTCATCTTCGATCGGCGATCTACCGAACATGTCATGTTTGATCCGAGAATCCGACACATTGACAGCCAGTAAGCTAGCGCCGTGTTGCACTTAGCGCCGTAAGAGTTGATACCTCTCCCGAACCAGACCCGGGTGCATTAGCGGTACGCCTCAGCTGGACTACATGTCCCCGGTGGCAGGTCCCCGAGGAGATGTTGCATCGAAGATTCGTCTGTCAATGTGGGTGCAGACTGGTACTACGCGTCCATCGTATGCATGTTCGTGTCGCAATTCCCTTCCTAGCGGCATCCAGCCGGTTGTTGGCAGTCTGAGAGCCAATAGTTCGCTGCTACATGTCACGGGAAAGCTTCTATCTTCTGCAACCCTCACCCGCAAGATTGCCACCTCCATTCCGTTGCCCCTCCAGTTGGAGGTTGACGGCGAATTTCGGGCCAAGCATCGATTGTGTAGTTAGCACCTTCTGGAAAGGGGGGAAGTGCAAACCAAATAACAATGATCTCTGCGCGCCTTCCTAAATAACCCCATATCACCAAACTGTCAGCTCACCATGGCCTCCTATCACCGAGTTTTGGGCGTCTTCGGCAAGTCCGTCAAGGACAAAACGCTGGAGTGCGATTGGTATGTCGATCCTTCTGCTTGACATCAGGGTAGCTCAACTAACCAGTTTACTAGCGATATTCATCCATGGGAAATCAAAATCAACGGTGAACAATGGCCAGGAAAGATCCGCCTCATTGGGTTTGTGGATGTGTTTTTCCTTTTCTCCTACTCGGCCAACGCACGCTTCGAGAAGGGAGTCATTGTCTACAGTATGGCATGGTGGACCTTGCTATAGAAACTGATTAGTGGCCGTTAACTTGCTCATAGAGGAACGATACGACCTTGAAAACCTCCTTCAGCAAAGGGATGAAGCACGTGCGAAAGCTGGAGAGAAGATTGTCGAGGGACATTTCGAGAATGCTAGCAAAGAGTCTCTCTATAGTTCTGCTGCTCCAGAAACTCCTTTGTCAAGTTTGCCAAGCCAGGAAGGCAAGGTGAAAGAAATTAAGTCTGAGGTGGTCGAACTCGGTCCCGAGACGCCGGGCTCGTCTTCTCCGTTGGAGAGCAAACAAGGCATGTTCTGTTGAGTGTTTCACATCCGCACGAGAGCAAGTCTGGTCTAACTGAGCTCAGCCACAAACCAATCCACGGAGGATAAAAAACGTCTGGACCGTCTAGAGTTTGAAAACACGACATTGTACAAAGTACGCAGCTTGGGCTACGAAGTGGGTCTCAAGAACCGATATCCAGTCTCCTCCATTCAGGAATGGGTCATCGAGATCAACAAGCCCTACCATCGGGCACTGAGGCGTATGTGGGCCTTGATCTTTTGGTTTTCGCACATATCCATCTGCTCCGTTTATAAATGCTGACTATGCCTTGTGACGAGTTTGAACAGGACGCATTAAGCGGGCCATAAAAGAACACACGACCACTGAGCTCTTAGAGGATGTGGTTAGATGTGGGTTTATTTCACATGGTCAACTGGCCGGCCACGTTCTGTCCAAGTATCTCGTTGGGGGTGTTTTGGATGATACTCTGACGAAGTATATCGAGGGATTGGCGGTGGGAAATGGGGCAGGAAGGGTGCCACTAGCCAACGAGGGGTATTGAGTATAGACATCTGTATTAAGGATCTGGATACCGGTTGAGTGTTGGATGTGACTGTGGTTAGTGCTCATGATTGAATGGGTTGTGATAGTGGTTCATGATTGTTGTTGTAGTTATAGTTGCTTCTAGAATAGGAAATGTTATGGAGGTACCTAAGTAGTAGTGTCCCAGGAATCTAACCCAAAAGGGGTAAACTGATAAGGCATCACAACTAGGCCTGATTTGGCAGGCGGCACTAACCCCTTTTTGCGCGGGCGAGCAATTGCATCGCCGGCCTTGAGATTAATCTTCAGCTTCGACCTCCCCGCGGACTCTCCACTCCACTTGGGTCGGCTCCAGTTCCGGAGTAATATGCTGTTCCTACAGAACAATGGACTTTGTACGACTCCCCCCGTCACTCCCTTACCGCCGTCCCCCAGCTAATTCCTCCAGTGGTCTCGTCTCATCGGGGGCTCCCGCTCGCTGTCTACTAAAGGCTTCCGGGCGTCCACTCCCACGGAGCGATTGGCGTCCTTCAAGCGGACATGCAATACCCTTCAGGTGTGTTGGCCTTTCTTGCTCATCCTAGTAATCCCCTCATGATCTTTCCCGCTCATCAAGCCTAGCAAATATGGCGCTCCAATAACTCCTCCACCGGCGAGCAATCCGCAACCGTTCACGCGCGTAATTGCATTGATCGCCTCATCTCCGTGCTGAGCGACGAATCCCGCGGCCCAGCTCCGCATCCATGCCTCGCATATGCCTCCTCTTCGCAGATCTTCGTCACGGTCACTAAGCTCGCCTTGTCTTCCTACGACGATGGCATGCTCCGATCCGCGACCGTGTTCTTCAACACCCTCATCGATTCCGAGGTCGATGGTATTGTCGATAATCGACTGTTTGCCCGCGCACTGGTGGATTTAGTGCGACGTGCGGATAAACACTCGGAGGATGTTGAGGGACGACTCGTCGAGCTACTGTTCGGCGTGGCTAACAATATTCGTCTACAGCCGAATATTCTTCCTGCGTGGTTCGCCCCACGGTCTGATGAACAGGACCGCGAACAGGGCAATGGTAATAACACTGGGGCTGAATTTGCGGGTGCAATGAGGAAGGATGATTTTCCGTTGTTCTACCTACTCGTGGAGTATGTGCATCATGCTGGTAGGGCAGGTGATTTTGCTCGTACGGGGTTGCTTTATTTGATCGAGACAGCTTCCAGGTCGAAGAACCTTGAGAGGTGGTTGATTGAGAGTGACCTTGCTACACTCATGGCTACTGGATTGGGTGCGCTGTATAGTCAATTGGGCAGGTGAGTTCTATTTTGGTTCTTCGTGGTGAGGATAAGGACTAGTGGCTGATATCTGTTGCGAAAGCTTGACCTTCCCGGAGAATACGGACGAGAATATCCCGCATATCATTGCGCTGTCCGATCACGCGCAGCAAGACACAGCTCTTCCACCGGTGCTGGGCATGTCGATGGATTCGTTCATGTCGTATCTGTTGTTCTGGCAGGATACTATTGATCATTGCAAGTCGGCGGAGGTCAACGGGACTTTGTTGGATCATTTCCAGATTCTCTTCCTGGAACAACTCTTGTAAGTTCGGTTGTATGGCTGCTGGAATGCTGCTTGCTCACTATAACGCATGCAGGTACCCGTCTTTACTTGAGTCTTCCGATGTGCAAGGGGGTTCAACGGCTGCTGTGCTTACCTACCTGTATCGCATTCTCGAGTCTGTACATCAGGAGGACTTGGTCCACCGGATTCTTCATTTCCTGCTTGCGTCTCCCTCTGACTCAGAGCCTGCGGCAGTCGGAAAGAACATAGGTATGTCTGCCAGCCGACGCAAGTCGCTAGATGTCTTGGCCGCTTTCTCCGAAGAAGCTGCGCGGCCCTCGCCGTCGCTCTTCAACTTGAGAGATCTTGCCCTCCTTGGACTTCAGTCGACAAATAGACAGACTGTTCTGGCGACATTGCGGGTAATGAGCACCGTCCTGCAACGGCACCATACCTTTGCACGATCATTAATACGCACCGTTCCTGGCCAGCATGCCAAACAACGGACTGTCGGGGCGTTGAACGTCGAGCTGGAACAGCTTATGAACATGGCCACATCTGCCGTTGATGACCCTACGTTGAATGAATCTTATGACAACTACCTTAAGGACGGGATGGCAATTCTCGAGGCCCGGCTGTGCATCCCCCCGGCGGAGGATTACCCGGAAGAAAGCCTGCCACTCGAGCTACGACACGATGACCCCATTGTGCGCGAGCTGCTCAATTGCCTGGAGAACTTCTTCACGAACAGTGTTATCGTGAATTTGGCATTGACCGAAGTCCTCGGGAGCATCGCCTCTTCGCACTTGATTGCTCTTGACGGCTGGCTTCTCGTGGACCCTTCCAAGTACATCTATAGCACATCAACGAACGAATCTTCAGACGAAACCCCTTCGACGACCCTTATTGAACAGATCCAGCGAGCCTACGAAGAGCCCTCCTGGTCCCACACCGACACTCCAGCCCTCACTTCGGTACTTCAGAAGCTCGTGCAGAAGATCCAGAAATGGCGCAAGGACATGCCGGACTTTGACATCCTCGTCGCCGCGCGTCGCGATCTCCTTCACCAGGACGACGAGCCCGCCAAAGCGTCTGGGCGTTCTCAGCGCAATTCCGCACCTCCTACCCGCTCCTCCTCCCGACACCCAACATCCAACCTCGACTCGGACTATGGGTCCCCTCGCGGCCGGTCTAGTCGACCCCTCGAGTTCTCCAGCACCGCCACCTCCTCTCCCAGTCGCGACGCCATCGGCTCTCCCACCCGCGACCTCCCCTTCCGACCGCCCCGCGATGTCTCCACGGCGCGCAGATCCGCCGCTGAAGAACTCCGCCAGCGATTGGAACAGCCATTCCCAGTGGACGATGCGCCTCACGATGCCAACAACGATACCACTGCGGAGGAAGCAACTGATGAAGCAAACGACGACGCGGGCGACACTGCAGTCGTCGACGAAGAACCCCGCACTGCGACTCTGGGGCATGTCTTGACCAACGTAGTCATTCTCTACGAGTTTTTGTTGGAAACGTCGGCTGTTGTGCAGGCGCGGGGAACATTGTTTGGAGAAGCGGGATACCCGGGAATAGATGGTCCTGTAGATACTGCCACGGTTGAGGCATAGCCAATTACTGTTTGTATTGATAGGGATGTTTAGTAAAGTCGTGGGCGGGACCTGCGATTATGGGTGACTGATTGATTGTATGGATGGAATATATACATTATTATATCCTGTTTTATTTCTGATAATATATCGTGTCTGAAAATAATACAGACTGACGTAGTTATCACAGGGTACGTAGTAGCTACTAGTAGCTGCTTAGGTACCTATACCTTACTGTCGTAAGTACCAGTCGACATTGATGATGACAGGTAACGAACATTCTTGCCAATTAGAAGTCAGTGTAGAAGATCTTCTTACCACCCTTTGGAGCACTCATAAAGTTCTCTGGACAGGGTACTTAGTAAGTAGTAACACCCGTAGCGGTACAGTTGCTGTATAGTGATGGACAGTTCTGAACAATGATATAAAATCAGTGATTAATCATATTACTATACAATGGATTTAATTAATACTATACAATAACCTAATAATAATAATCATATAAACACTAATTTATCCTTGGATTTGTGACTTCTAGCTACTACTTATCAGTAATATCATATAGTATGGAGATGGAACCGAAATATATACTACTTATTGACACAACTATCTACGTCATTACTGGCTACAGTTGCTATCACCCATTTGGTCAACCTACCACGATAACTACACAATCAGACTACTACTACTTACTTACTTCCTACTCGAGTCCTTACTTATAGAAAGATGACAGTCAGTCAGATTGAACCTGTTCCTTCATGTAGACACGTGACTGACTGAGATAAATAGACGATCCCTATGCGTGGAGTGTCATGTGACTTCAGTTGGCTTGTATACTTATGATGTACCAGTATTAGTAAGAAGGGATGTCACTCAGTTATGCCTGGAATTGTTCTGTGTTGATATATGCATATGGAAAAATAGTAGGGTTACTTTACAGTTAATTCTGCTACACTTCAACTAAGCCGGATCATTTGGTGTTTACTTCATCGCTCGTATTTACGCGTCTCGTCACGCGCAGATCATACATTCGGCTGAGCATACTAAGAAGTAGATACTAGTATAGGTACACGCGCAGCTAAATCCATGCGACACAAGCAAGGTAAATTGCTTCCTCCCTTGCCTTCCGGAGTCTCCCTTTTAGTCATTATCGATACATACAAATACAGTACAGACTGCTTGTCACTCCCTCGCGTAGTAATAACAAGCAAGCGAGTAAGAAAGCAAGCAAGAAATTAGAGAAATGAGAAATCAGATACCCAATGGGATGGTAGAAGGTAAAGAATCGAGAAAATAAGCAAATAGTAGTATTCACATCACGCGATGCAAGCCCAACCAACCATCCAACCAACCTGATCATGCCCCCGTTACCACAAACGCCATATATAGATAGAGAGAGAAACGGTGGTAGCAGAAGTAGTAGCAAGAGTATGATAGTAAGTCAAGTCAAGTATGCGCCCGCTCTTATCCACCCAGTCTAAAGGATAATAGTAAAAAGAAAAAGAAAAGTTGGACCATCAATATCGATATCGAATCGAATCGAATGGCTGCCCATCGCGCAAGGAAATAGAAAGACCCTCAAACCACATAATGCATGCCAGCTGACATTCAAGCCAGTTCGTTTCAGATAAGACGCGCGAATTGAGAAAAAGACTCGTAGTGGACATTAATTAATCACTTTCTTCTTTCGGACGACGTCCACCGCGCTTCCGTTTCGGTTGTTGTTCATTCTGATCACTGTTATCGTCGTCGTGTTTGCGACTGGCCGGTTGATCAGGAACCTTGGCGATGATGTCAGCGAGGAAGTCGAGCACTTCGTCTTTCACCACGGCTTGTTTGAGATGCGAGGCTGTGACGCGTTTCGAGTTGCGGTCTTTGGCTTCGCGGGCGGCTTTGGTGACGAGTGAAATCATGAAAAGTTCGAGTGCTTTGGCTATAGTTTAACTTTTATTAGCGGTGATCTTTTTTGAATTGAACATGCGGCAATGATTACTTCGGAGATGAGGGTGGCAACTTACACACTGCGATGGGGGTGACTTGAGCGACTTTACCGACATCTTCATCGGCTTGCATAATGCGCTTTATGCGCGCGACAGGAAACTTGGTCTTCACTTCCACATTGACGGGCACAGGAGCGGGCTTCGGAAGCTCTTCCTCTTCAATTACAGCGACGGGCTCCTCTTGTGGTTCCGGTTGCGGTTGAGGTGGAGGTGAAGGTACAAATTCCTCTTCTTCTTCGACAGGGTCGACGTACTTGGAGACGGGCGGGTGAGGCGCGACCTCGGCCGCTTGGGCGATACGCGACGAGCGACGAGCCATGTCCGGATCGGGAGGGAAGTATGAGGAGGATTGCTGGGGAACCCTGGTCTGCGGGACCGGGTGGTGAGGAAGCGATGGTTGTTGTGGTAGAGGTGGTGCTTGATATTGCGGGGTGAAGAAAGGTGAGGCGTCGTAGGAAGCGCGATGGGCGAAAGGATTCCCGAATTGGTAAACGGGGGAGTGGTGAGGAAGTTGATAGTGCGTGTTGTGGTTGAGGTTGTGGTTGTTGAAGGTAGGTGAGAGGGGAACTGACTGGAAGGTGGAAAAATCAGGGGATCGTGGACGATAGGATTGGTCTTGGTCTGTCATTGCTGTGGGGATTTTTTTTTTTCTTGTTTTTTTCTTTTTTTTTCTTTTTTCAATTTATAATATTTTTCTTTTTCTTTTTCTTTTTTTCTTAAAGCAGAGATCCAGGCGTTATGGGCGATGCGCGTGCGCGCCTAACAGGAAAACGGCCTAGTATGGAATAAATATGGGGAACGTCTTTTTCGTACCTTGGCCGCCAAAGTTGGAGTGACAACAACAAATTGGGGAATGGAGGGATTTAAATCTACCAGGCTGATACCGTGGCCGGCATAACACACCACTGGAATACAGGATCTGGAGGAATTTCTGCCCGGGATAGAAAATGTAGACGATTTTCAATCCCACAAACACTTTCCGCGATGAAGAAGATAACTCGTGGTCGTGAAACCGATTTGTTTGGGGATGTTTTTCTTGTTTGTGCCGATCGCGCGGCGCGGGTGGTCCGAGCTTCTTAAGAACGAATTTGGTGTAATTTTTGAATAAGTTCTTTGGTCGAGAGCAAAAAGTGCGTGTACGGAAGGCGTGGCGTGGGTGGCCCCAGCATCCGAAGAGGAGACGAAGAGGACCGGCGCCCTTTCTTCCGGGGGAGCAGCAGCAGCGGCCCTTTTAACCCTGGCCTGCCTGTTCCACTGCTCGCGCTAAAAATACTGTTCCTCAGGCTCCCTCTCCGATTTTTCTTTTTTTTTTTTTTTTTTCCCATTTTTCTTTTTCTGGGTCGGACGGAAACTGCTTGGACTCTAGCCTGACGGGTGGTACCTTCCAGTCACTCATCCTTCCTCTACAACATCCCCCCCAATCCTTCTCTCTTTAATTAACCATCCTCCATCATTACGATGACTACGCCATCTTCCTTCTCTTCGTTTCTTAGTGACTCGGCATCATCCGCCATTTCCCCTAAGCCCGTTTGACTGATTGATCACAGAATATGGCATCTTCCCCCCATTTCATCTCGACTCTCATGTCCATCACTCTGTGACGCGCTGCTGCCTCATCGTGAGGCCGTGGATGAGTCTCACTGCTCAAGTTTTGGGGTGTCAACTCAGCTGCGAACGAACCACTCCTCTCGTCGCCACCCCGCCCGGAGGCACTGTTTAAATGGTTCGTTCCCTGATTGGCCCCCCTCTGCTTTTGGCTTTTGCCGCGCGTGATTCCACCCGTCGAGTCTGCGTCAATGATGCAAAGCCACAGATCGTATACTACTGCTTCTCCCATGTATCATTTGTTGCTCAGTCGGGGTGTTGGTGTCCCCCTGACCCTGTAGATGGTAGCTCTCTAATGCGGGAGCTAGTGACTCAGTCTCTGATAGTCATGTCATCACCTATCTTGTGTTCCCGTTCCATGTCTTTGTTCCTTTCCCTTTTCATCATATTATCTATCCCTCTGATTGATATCCCCCACCAAGACGCGTGATGATGATAAACAGAGCTCCAGAGATCGGGAGAGAAGGACGATTTGGCGCGCAGAGACCCACCAAAGGTATCGCCGCCGTCGGATCTCTCTGTGCTATTGCTATCTGATGGCAGTACCCCTTCGGTGAGGGAGTAAATAACTTGATCTAATCTGAAAGCGCGTCGCTGGTTCCCCTTCGGCGGTACTTTGCGTCCATTTGATTTGCCCGTCGGAGATGAGAGGCAGATCTGCCTCTCTGACAGTTACCTAGTAGGTAATTTAGAGATAGGGCCAAAGAATGCATTCTTTCCCAGAGTCGGTATAGCGCTGACCCTTCCGTAACCCAGGTTGGAATCTGGAATCCTATCCTACAATGTAGTCGCAAGGTAACTCGTCTGCCTTGAGTTCGTGGCGCGCAGCAGGGATGAATGATGGGTGACAACCAGGGGCCCAGTCGCCGCAGTTGGCGGTGTGCCGTACCGCCTTGAATATCCCTATGACTGGTCCCAAACCTTAGTTATTTAGTGGTCTGCAAATGACAAAGTATCATTTGAAACCGCACGTTCTGGACGATGGTGAGGCTGACTTCCGTAGTTGGTATGGTTAGGACGTTGTTCCGTAGAGAGGGTCTCATCCACATCCCCAATCCTTCTTAAGCGCCAGCAGCATCCACCAACAACTTCAGCGTAACGGAACGGACAACCACGCAGCAAACCAGATGATCGATGTCACCTTCCAGTCAGGAAACAACCGAACGCAGGCGCTGGAGAAGAGAAGCAGAAGGGCGGGGCGATGCGCCGGAAAGCCTCGGACAGGCGGTTGTTCCGCTCCGGCCCGCCTCCGGCCTCCAAATTTGGTCAAACAGGCACAGATTGTCCATCGCGACATTCACTCCGATTGCCAATTCACGGACTTGCATTTCCGAGCGACGCCAGCAGGAATGGCTGCCACCTCCTATTGATGGCGAATTAGATCGCGTTCTTTGTCTTTGCCAGTGTGGCTGCCCTACTATTCCCTTTTCTGCACATTGACACCTTTCTTCTGGACTTACCTTTCCCTCCGGTCTAGCCTCGTCATCCCCGATGGCTGTCGCAGATCAGCCTTCGGGCTTGATGGACATCGCCAGGTAGGTCATAGTCCAGCCTTGCGCTCTTCAGTCATATATGGCTTTGACCCGAGAACTAATTCGCGTTTCAATACACAGCTCTCTCACCCAAGATGAGATCCCGTTCAAGCTGCGATGCGCCATGTGCAATAAGCTTGCCATGAACGCCTTCCGCTTACCCTGCTGCGATCAAGCGATCTGCGAACATTGTACGCATCCCGTTGACGACACCGTGTTATACTACCGTTCCATTCTAACCAATGTTCCGACAGGCCAGGCTTCTCTCCCCGAGACTTGCCCCGTATGCGCGCATACTCCCATCTCGCCCGATCTATGCAAGCCGAACAAAGCGCTCCGCACCACATTGAAGGCCTTTCTGCGTACAGAAGAGAAGAAGCGTGAGAAGGAGCGACAGTCAGCAACCCCTGCGACGCCCGCAACCACCAATGGTGCAACAACCGCGGACGGCACTCCTGCTCAACTGGAGACACCTGCGGTGCCGAGCGCCGCCGAAGTTCCAGCCTCTGAAGAAATCCCTGCACCTAGTGAATCTGTCGATGCTCCGCCGGTAGAAACAGCCAACCCCGCGGATGCCGGAGACCTAAATGTGCAGAACACACCAGGTGTGGGCGACGAAGCACCTACAGAGGCGCAGGCCCAAGTATGTCACCCAACATTAATCGCCTACTCTAGGCTAATCTTCCACTCGCGCAGGATGACCAGCCTACAAGTGTTCCTGCTGACACGCAGAACGACGCTGGGGATGCGGAGCACGACGGATCTGGTGAAGGCAACGAAGCCGATGAAGCCAAGACCGACCAAGTCAACGATGACGAAGCGTCCCAAGGTCCCGCGGGGACCATGCTCCCCAATGGTATGGGCTTTGGCATGGGTGCCGGGATGTTCCCTAATATGGCTTGGAACAACAACGGTGGTTTCAACCCTATGGCCCAATTCATGAACAATGGAATGTTCAATTTCCCTAACGCTATGGGTGAGTTTCCGCTCGTCATCACCTGCCCCGAGGCGACATTGGATTGATGAACTAACGTGCGCGCTAGGAATGCCTGGCATGGCGATGGACCCGATGGCCGCGAATCAGGGTATGTTTGGAGGCTACGGGATGAACATGAATGGCATGAACATGGGAATGAGTTTCGACGCGGGTCAGGGGATGTATGGGGGATGGGACGGCTCACAGAACAATATGTGGAATGGAGGCCAAGATAAATTCAATCCAAATGCTTTCGCAAATGGTATGGGTCCGCAGTTTGGGGGCCCCTCTGGATTTGGCGGTTATAATATGTCTCAACCCAACGGAGTTCATGCTCAAATGCAGCCGCAGCAGTTTCCTAGCCAAGATTATCCAAATGGCTCTTATGCCGGTCATGGCAGAGGCGCGTTCCGTGGCCGTGGCCGCGGAGGATTTGCCGGCGGTCGCGGTGGTTTTGGAGGGCATATGCAAGCCAATCATCCTGCTAATGCTAACTATCCAGACTTCCCAAACCATAATCCCCTTAGTGATGGTCAGGATGGCGTATCTGGGGACATGTCCGGGGAGGTCAGTACTGAAGCCAATAAGGAAGGTGCCGGCGAGAATGCCCTAAGTGGCGATGTGACTTCTGCTCAAGATGCTTCGGCGGGAGATGCTGCCGCTGCTGCCGAAAACATGGGTGAGAATGGGGAATCTGATCCCAACATTAATAGAGACTCCACACAAGAACTTCCAGGCCAGGAGGAGAATCAGCTGCGTGGGATACCGACAATTGATAGTCTAGACCAAGTCCACGCCGCACAAGGCATGTCGGGTGGCCCTATGGGCATGACTGGCCCTATGGGACCTGGCTTTGGCAGAGGTGGCTATATGCGCGGTCCCTTCCCAGGCGCACGTCCTGGTGGCTTTAACGGTCCTCCATTTATGACAGGCTCTAATATGTACCCCGAGCCTCGTGGACAGGGTGTTGAAGGTGCACCCGCAGCTCCCCGAGCCATGCGAGAAGGCCTTCCCAACACCAGCATTCTCCGGCAGCGGAACTTCCATGGACGTTCCTCGGCGACTCCCATGAGGCCTGAAGCCTCACAAAGGTAAGAATAATGTTCCACATACAAACCCATTGCAAGCCCGACCAATACTGATGTTCTCTTTCTCAGTGTAACCCCAACCCCCGGACAAGAGGACCAGCGCCCACAGTCCGTTCCAAGATCGAAGTCGAGAGCTAGATCGGCATCAAGATCCAGGTCCCGATCTCCTCCATCTCGTGCCGATAGTCGTCGCCGGTATCGTGAACGTTCTCCGAGTGTCAACCGTGGTACAGAAGAATCCGAGCGTAGACGAGAACGGCCAAGGAGGCCTCGTCGGGAGGACAAGTACGAAGAGCCATCCACTGCAGAAGATGGCCCTCGTATCCGCTCCCCGTCTCTAGAATCCAGAAGGTCCACTCATCGTCGTGACAGAGAGCGGGATAGACGCAGCGGTCGCCGGTCGCATCGTTCGCATCGTCACCGTAGCTGGAGCCGCAGCCCAAGTCGCAACGGCGACGCCGCCGGACCCGATCATCTCTCTTCCAAGGTCGAAGACAAGGATTCCAGAAACAAGCCCAGTGATGCGGTAGACCGCAGTTACCGGTCTGGTAAGGACCGCTCAAGCCGTCGCGACGAGGACCGCGATAGAGATCGAGATCGAGATCGAGATCGAGTCCGAGATAGAGACTCCCGCCGTCGGGATCGGGATCGGGATCGCGATCGTTATCGAGAGCGCGAAAGAGATCGCGACCGCGACAGAGATAGGGAGAGAGAGCGCGACCGCGATCGTGATCGTGATCGGGACCGCCATCGAGAACGCGACAGGGAGCGTGACAGAGACCGTAAACGCTCTCGCCGCGACCGCTCTGAATCCCCCGTCAACAGCGAATACTCCTCCCGCCAGTCCCGCCGCGCCAGACGGGACCGTGATGAGGACAAACCTTCAGCTACAGCTGCTGCTGCAGCAGAGCCAGAGAAAGACCCCCATACTCTGGAACGAGAGGCCAGAAACCGCGAGCGCATGCTGAAGGAACAGCAACGTCGTGAGGCCATGCATGCAGACCGTGATGCTGGAAAGTCTTCTCGCAAGCGAGACAGCCGCGCCATGGCAGGTGGTCGTCGCTTTAGTTACAAGTACGAGGACGAAGAAAATGATGACGCTCGAGCTGCGCGCGTCGAGAAGGAGCGTGAAGCAGGTCGATGGAAGTAATCGCTCTCCTACTTCTCCTCATATTTTCCCCCACGACCGTTCAATTCACCTTCCTTCTACTACTCACACATGCACAACACAACACCTCTATATCCCGCCCCCCTTAACCCCACTGACTCACTCACTCCAAGGTACTTCCATACTAGTACCCATATCCTCACTACCTCTATCACCCAAAGAGCATAGAAAAGAGAATCCTTACGGGATATCCTCCTAATCTAACACCAAGAAAAATTACTCTCCATTTTTTAATCAAGCGCTCATCATCCAACACTTCTTACATTCTCATGTCACAAATTCTCAACCAAGAGGGAACAGAAAGAAAAAAGGTCCCAGAAATTGCATGGCGTGCATTCGTGGTCGTTGCCGGTGGATTGATTTCATATTACTATCTAGTATATTTGAGAGAGATGGTGCTTGCAGGCGCCCCCAGCTTGCAGCTATTTTTCATATGGATGGCGTTGTAGATAAGATTCACATACTATTTTTATTTACTACCTTACTCCTAGTTTGTTGCTGAAGTGAAAGGCCTGGGTGGAGAATGTGAGATATTTAAACCTTTAACTTGATCTTTTATTTTCTCTATGAGACAGTAATTCTACTAGTAGTAAGTAGGCTGTAACAAAATACTGATGAAGCGGACAGACCGTGGTGGTATATTTCTTGTCTACAACTACTAAGTAACTACCCACACTAACCAACCTGTCTTTAGAAAATCTCCAATCTATCCAATTTCGCCTCAATCTCGAGTAATCTTGCCACCGCTGAATCGACAACAACATAATCATCATAGAAAAGAGAGAGAGAGACACTGGTATTCGTATTGACATTGACATTGCGATCATGCTGCAGGTCATCAAGAATATAATAACACACAACGATGACGGGCTATGGACATAGAAGGGCAGAAAGAGGGACAGGGCTTTTGGAGCGATAATAGGGTGTTAGGGTGTGTTGTTAAGGATAATAATGGTAGACAGCACAACACAAACGACTTAGGAAATTCAATACAGTACATTAAAGGATCCAAAGTTCTGGAATCAAAATATCAAAAGGCTTAGCCCAGCTTAGCCTTGAGGGACTCGATCTCTGCAGTCAGGCTCTGCATCTGCTGCGCTTGGGAGGCGATCGTCTTTGTCTGTTCGGCGATCAGGTCCTTGATCGCTCCAATCTCGCGCTGGACCGCGTCTGCTGCGACGGCAGCGCCAGTGGAGATGTCGGCGGGCGCAGCGACGGGGGTGATGACGGGGGAAGACTGCAGGTTGTTAGTTGGGGAAGGATGTCGCTAGGGGATAGGGATTGCGTACCTTAGCAGGGCTTGCTGCCTGGGTCTTGACCTCCTCTTCCTTCTGGTGCCATGGGCTGGCCTTGATGGAAGGAGATGAGGCTTCGGGAGAGCGTGCAGGGCGCTCCACGGGCTTCTGCACCTCCTCAAAGCTCGAATCTTCCTCCACGGTCTCGGCCTCCTCATCGTCGGCAAACTTGGAGACCATGGCGGCCATTGAGGCACCCTGCTCCTTCATGGACGGGGCGGGCTTGGCCACCGGGGTCGGCTCGGGGGCGGGTTCGGGTGCCTTCTTCACGGGACTGGGCTCGGCGGCCTTGGGAGCCGGTGCCGCCTCGGGTTCAGAGGCGCCCATGGTGGAAGTGGGGGCGTCCTGCACTCCGGTGACCTCCTTCAGACCCTCACCCTCGTAAAGGTTGGCCATAGAAATCTTAGGCGGGATGGCCTCCTTGCCCGCAAGCCACTCAGAGGGGCCCATAGCAGGCTTCAGACCAGTTGTAGGGGGGTAGATATCGTCCTGGAAAGTCTCCGCACGGCGGGGCACGATGAAAGAAATAGGTTCAATGTAGCCATCGTTAACGGTCTTGAAGGCACGAGCGACTTCGTTGTCGTGAGTGTTGACTCCACGCTTGGGCATGAAAGCGATACCACGCTGGGGATCGGCGGACTTGTATTCGGCAAGGTATTCGAACTTGTCGTTCTCGAGTTCGAAGTAGCGGATGTTACCGTCACTAGAAAATGTCAGCCACGGTCAATACCCGGTTATTTCTATAGACTTACCCTCTTCCAGCAAGGTACAGACACTGAGTGCCCTCGTCCCAGAAAGGCATGCATACACCGGAGATCGAGTCAAGGGTCTTGAATCCGTTGATGGGCTCCCGGGGAGCGCGGATATCCCACAGAGCCAGCTGGCGGTCACTCATCTTCGAGAAACCGGTGGTTGCGATCCTGTCGTGCTCACCAAGCCAGACTGAACGACTGTTCTTGGCACCAGAGTGTCCTTGTGTCTCATGCGCGGGGCGTTCCTGACGCACATCCCAGATGCGCAGCTTCTTGTCTCGCGAGGTCGTAACCAGAAGGGAGCCGTTGGCGCTCCACGACTGTGATTGCACAATGTCGCCCAGGTTCAGGGTCAGCTTCGGGGCGCCTGCTTCGATATCCCAGATCTTGACCGTGTAATCGCCGGAGGCCGTTGCCAGGATGTTTTCAGCGGCGGGGTTGAAAAGAACGTGACCTATCTTTCTGAGGGGACGTTAGACTGTGTTCGCAAAGCACAAGCATTCGAGTAATATGACGGTTTCACTCACTTCGGGTGACCGGAAAGCTTGCCAACAGGTGCCACATCTTGGATCTCATCGGGGTCAAGATCAGGGCGCAGGGTGAAGTTCTCCGGCACACGCCAGAGGAAGACCTATCATGCAACCAATCAGTACCAGTGAACAAAGCTGCTGCGGTGGCGTGGGAATTTTATGATGGCTCATACCTTTCCGTCATCAGATCCAGATGCAATTAGGTCATCGTTGAAAGGGTTCCTAGTTCTGTTGGTCGTGTGCTACGATAGAGTGTTCACAACAGCCACTGCTCACCAGTCGGTATCGAGGACCACGGCAGTGTGACCCCGGAAAAGAGGTATCCTCTCGGGCAGCTTCCCGCGCTCCTCCAGAGGAATGACAGCAAATGCACCTCCACCGCCAGCTTCCCAGTTCACGGAGAGGTATTTGGGGTTGGCCTAGTTGAAGCGTCAGACGGACCTGGTAGGTGGTGGATTAGGGGCGGCGGCAACAACGGACGAACCTTGACGAGGTTGGTATCCCAGGCGTTCTTGGAAACGCGAAGGTTATCATAGCATTGCTCCTGCGACGACTGTGAGATTATGTCGAGTCTGTGAAGGGTCCAAGGGGCTCGTAGCGCACCTTTCTCGTCGGCCGTCCGAAGACGTGTCCTACTACCTGTCAGATTGCGGGCAGCCTGTGGGGAGGGGAAGAGGGAGCTCACGGTATTTCGAGGAACGCACGAATCGACCAGACATGATGCTGGTAGTTGAGAGGGTCACAGGGGGAAAGAAATGGCACAAAAACAAATAACAATGAAAGAAATGGAGGCAATTGGGAGAGATAAAAGGGTCTCAATGACCTTGAATGGGGGGGGGACGGGGAAAGCTTGTCGGTCTGAAAGCAGCCGCCGTTACGGAGCCAGTCAGGGAGAGAGAAGTGGAAGTGGGAAGTGGACACACCCGCGTGCGGGCCAGAGATGAACAAGTGTGGCTCAGCAGGAGGAGTGGAAGATAAGAAATACTGGCAAAATATAGAGCGCCAGAAGTGATAATGAGGATGCTGCAAGCGCAATGTCACAATTGTAAAAAAGTAAAAAAAAAACAACCCGGTCTACTCCAGTGATACTCTACTCATAAACAATCAGCGCAAGTTCGTCACAAACCAAGCAAATCAAGAACGGTATTGTTGTATTCATGACCGACATTACGTCTAGCCCGATGGGGTAATGGCGCACCCCGCCGGGCCCGGCTGAGTCAGCCAAGTTTGTTTACCGCCCGCCGTCACTCCAGAAACGCCCACCAAAGCTGGCCGGCAATCGAACCGTCGTGATAAACTAACTCACCTGCGCTGCCTCGACCTGCACCGAACGACCCGCTGACGTCCCGACTTGCGATGCAGTCCTGCCCCTAACAGGTAGCAGCCTGATCTGGATTTGATTGTCTTTGCTTCTTTGATCTAATAACACGCGCTTTTCTTTCCATTGTACTTCTCTTGACGCACAAATTCTCGAGTTGTCAGGGGTCGAGTTGGCCCGCTTGTGGAAGCTATGGAGAACGACCATATGGTGAATTCATTCAATCGCACTTGACAAGTAATGAGTGCTGATACAAAGTGGCAGATGCAGTCCAGATCGTCCGCCCGTTCACGAATCCCCACTGGTCTAAGAGAGATGAATCCGGCCTCGACAAATGCCCGCTCCGGTCTTTTGCAACCCGGTACCATTGCGGGCGCCGTAACCAGCAAGACTACGAGCCTGTCGCGTATGTGTCAGGAGCTGTGGAAGCGGTGCAGCGAACAGAAGCTGACAGTCACAGAACCATCTCGTCCCAGAAGTACTACGCAAGCACCCGAGGTTGGCAGAGCCGGAGCCGGAGCAGCATCGTCGCGCGTCAACAGCACCACTAGAGTCCACACTCGCGCTAATTCGCACTCATCATCCACCTTGACCAGATCAGCCACTACATCCGCGCGATCGAAAGGAACCATTTCCGGGGTTCCCCCCGCTCGACCACACACCAGCATGTCTCGCTCACACTCCGTTGCCAGCTCCCGAAGACCGAACGGCCACGGCATCCCTCGCCCCGCGACATCTTTGGATACGCACGATGAGGAGGACTCCGCTGCTACTGTACTTGGTAAACGAAAGGGTAGGCCCACCCCGTGCTTTGTTCGTTCTGCTGCATATTTCTGCGCCCCATGCGATACATCAAGCAATCGTGCTTTGCGGAAGTGGCCCAATACCAGTCCTGAGACTTTATTGTGCGCTTCCCTGGAAGAGTTGGACCTGAAGCCCTCCCCCATTGACACATTGGATTTTGCCCCTTTGCCTTCACATGGTGCGCCAGCTGGATCGTTATCTTCGACGAACACGGCCGCGACTACCCCAGTCAAGGCTGCGCCGAATAGGATTCTGTCTCCTAAAAAGCACTCTGCTAGGAAGA